GATATTCATTTATTTCTCTCCTTGTGACTCGCAGCTCAAATGGACCCAATTCAGAAACTCTTCTTGGACTCCATACGTGAATACTCCACAAAAAGCCAGTAAGTCTCAAAACTCTAGTTGAAGTGAAGATTTAAATTCTAGCTGCGAGCTAAGTGGCTGTTAAAGCAGCAATATGTAACTGTGACACCTAGTGCAGTCCAAATTCTAAACATTGAGAAGCTGTCTCCCCCCGCCCCCTCCTCTCTAGAGTCGATGCTCATGCAGGTTGTCATGTGGTGAACACTGAAGCTTCAGTGTTTATCCAGCTCTGCATCAGTCTGTAAACTTTCTGTGTTCTAACCTCTCTCCATTTTTCAAAAGCATCTCCAATATTGATCCTAGTTTGAGCACGTTTCTGCTCGTGGAGCTTATTAGAAACATGCAGAGGCTTTTAGGTCGGGTACAATCACTTCTATCTGAACCAGTTCTCTTGCCGGCTTCCATCGCTGCAACACCTGTTGGTTTGACCTGATAACTGCTCTCATATCTGGCAAACCAAGGGGCGTCCAAAACGGCCGTGTGGGGGGTGCCTTAAAACCGCCTACCTTCTCTGTTCCAAACAAATCCAGAGCATTCAGGACCAAAAAACCAAAGTTTAAAGGAGGACATACTGACTGCTGCATTGTTGTCAGAGAAGCCAGCACTTCAACATAGCATGTTTCCTTAATGTCTGATCATACAGTAAGGTACCTTTATCATTGATCCTTTAAAATGTTTGCGACCGCGGTCTGACAGACTCTGGTGTGTCAGTGGATGTTCTGTGATTGTGAGTTAGTGCTCATTTAATTATTTACATGTGTGAGTAAATGAAATGGGACTTTGTGCTGCTGACGATTGACCTTTGTCTTCCTCCTGTAGGGCCTCAGGCGGGCTAGTGGATGCAGGTGCGGAGTACGAAAAGGCTGTGGCAGAGGAGGTTGCAAAGCTCCAGAGACTCTATGGGGGTGGAGACCTCACAGCTTTCCCAGAGTTCACATTCACAGGTGAGTCAAACTCTAAGACCACGAGGCCACATGCTTTTTGGTTATGAATGTGAGGGTGAGATCAAACCTCATTTCTTACAGCAATACTGCGGCTTCTCACTTTGTGTGCAAACCAACTATAAATGAAGCGCAGAGACTGAAATTAGGGTTTTTACTGACTCCAGTATCGGATGAATAAAATGATGTGAAGCTGCTCTAGACGTTTTCACAGACTGACAACATGAGGAGAAGATGGGATCTGTAAAAACATTCAACGAGTTGATTTCTCTTCTTTGTGTCTTTTTCAGAGCCTAAGTTTGATGAAGTGGCCCAGAAATGAACACCAGCACTTTAACAAACATGCTTTTCTACTGTCGCCTTCCCGCCTGTACGTCTGTGCTCCATAGTGGACTGCCAACAGTCTGCTTCCTGTCAGAGTGTCATCAAACCCCACCTCCAGCTGCGTCTGTCAGTAGTTAGATATTTGAATGGGAGTGTTCTCTGAAGGGATTGAGATGTACATTTCTGCAAGATAAGGGAACTCTGAGCTGTGAAATAAGCTTTGTGTGTTGAGCTGAATGTAGGGAAAAATAATAATAAATTCCACTTCCTATTTGTTGTGCGCTTGTCTCTTTCTTCAACAGTCGGTGAAATGATCATATGGTCACAAATATTGGAATTTTTATTTTTCATATCTCTTCATTCAGCAGTGTGAGTTTCATTAAAAAGGACGTACCGGTAAGTATACAGAAGGCTCTATAATAGAGGCTCAGTTCTTAATTTATAGCGACATCAGCAAGGAAAAGAAAACGTGCAGAACAGACGGCATGTTGTAAACTTACTGCTCCGGCTGTATGTCAGGAGCTCTGCAGTCAGAAAAGGAGATAACTGAGCGCTCCAAGTATAAAGAATGAACCCATAAGGAAGGACATCATTAATCAGTCTTTATTAAAACATGTAAAATAAATACCAACACGTTTTACCTGTGAGGTCTTGCAAGGTGTGCAAGAACTCTACAAAGGCTGCAGCAATTATACAAGATTACTTTTTTTTTTTTTTTTTTTAAACATGCAAAATACGTGTTGAAATGTAAATATGTAGTATATTTAAACATTATCAGACATTTAAATCCAGAAATAGATAATTACCTGAACAGCTACAGAGGCTGTTTGTGTTAAGTTTAATGAGGACGGTAATAGACACGTACTACGTTAAAGTGTGTGTGTGTGTGTGTGTGTGTGTGTGTGTGTGTGTGTGTGTGTGTGTGTGTGTGTGTGTGTGTGTGTGTGTGTGTGTGTGTAATGACCCTGGTTGTTCATGGGCAATGTAAATATATTTTGAGAAAAAGGTGTTCAAAGTATGTTGTGTTATCGTGTTGGAAATCATACTCTGAAACTAGCAAATAAACTAAATAAGAGTTAACTAACAGACAGTAGCTCCTTAACAGTCAGGCTAATATGAGGCGTCTTTAGAAAGCATTTGTTTGTTTTTTTGTCCCTTCCATGAGTGGAATTTACGAGTTGTACTGCATTCAGCCAGCAGGGGGCGATGTAGATTAATTAATAATGTATTCTGATGATTGCGTCTGGAGTTTGTGAAGAGTCGTACCTGCGATGTGTCCAAAGTATTTTTCACAGTCTACCTACGGGATACCCAGAGTCCCTAAGAGGGTTTTAGTCGGGGTACGGATGGGTAAAGGGGTCAAACAATAGAGGACAGCGCCCGTGGTTCGAATCTCTGGCAAGGAACTGCACGAGACAGTCTATGGTTGGAGGCTTGTGATTTTGATGTAACCACTGAGCTAAACCTCAGCGGTCATGGAGGAGACAGGAACACTTTATGAAAGTAAACATGGGGACGAACACTCACCTGGAGTGTAGCTTATGAACTAAAGCGACAATCATCTCTACAAATACTAATAATACAATTATTTGAGTTTCATTATGGCCCCTTTTCGCTGGTTGGATGTTGCAACATGTACTACCTTCAGTCGGCCTGCAGGGGGCGATCGAGATGTTTCGCCTTCACTTTTACATGGAGCCTTTAAAACCATGGCAACGCCAAGAGCTGATGTAAATATTAAAGGTATATTTGAACAAGGTGCTCTCTCTTTTGTTTGGAAGTTATTGCTTAATTTAAAACTAAAATGTGTTCTGGATCAATTAATCGTCAAGGTTGTTTAATAATTAGTACGAGAGACAGGCCGATTTGACCACGAATGATTCCCGTAGATTTACAGCGAGTACCCCAGACGTGCTGCTGAAGTCACAGAAAAATATGAACACATGGGGGGGAAAAGCGGAGGACAGCGCCCGTGGTTCGAACCCCGCAGTCCGCGGACCGCTGGAGTAGAGTAACCCAAACAAAGGAAGTTGTGATGTAACCACTGAGCTAAACCTCCGCCGTCAGTCAATGACACATAAACAGGTTATAACACTAAGTATGAGGAAGTACAACCCTCATGTTGAGCAACTTCTTAAAGGTGCGCTGCTGAGATCAGGTAGAGAAATGTGAAAGTTGGAGAAGTGTACAGATTCTGTGGTATATGTTCATAACTCTAAACACAAACTGTCCTCAGAGGAACATTTGGTCCCTGTAACACTGAAGATAAAATACTCAGCGAGGAGTTATGGTGGTGGGAGCGTAACTCTCCAGGGACCCATCTTATCCCATCTCTCCCCCTATCCCTTTACAACTCCGGTGCAGTCTAGTCCTGTGAAGGCTGTTTCGTCATGAGCCGGGGATCCGGCCGAAGATTTCTGCCTTTTAATAAGGCAGTGTTTTCTTACCACTGTAACTTTTGCTGCTTTGCTAAAGTGCTCATGATGGATAGGCCGGGTCTTTGTAACATAACAATAAGTAAGGTCTTTTACCTGCTTTTTGTAACATAACAATAAGTAAGGTATTTTACCTGCTTTTTGTAAAGCGTCTTGAGATAACACTTGTTATGAGTTGACGCTATACAAAATAAATTGAATTGAATTGAATTGAATTTGTTCCTTTGAGTAAAGTTTGTGTATTTAGTTCAGAAAATAAAGCATAGAATTGTTTCCATCTCTCTTTCTTTTATTCTTTATTTCGAACGATTAAAAAATAGATGAAAATGAATAAACAAATGAAAAAAAAAAAATCTGTATAAAATAAAATTAAAATAAAAAGCAAATTTCAATATAATACACATTTGACTCGTTCGAAAAGTGATAGGAGGAAGCCTAGGCTTGTCAAGTCCTGCCCCCATTCTTCACCATTAACAAATGCAAAATCCAATAAAATAAACTAAACGGACAATACAAAAAAATACTCCAATCGAGCTATTTCACTTCTCCAACTTTCAAATTCCTCCACCAAATCTCCACAGTGTGCCTTTAACTGTGATTATATTATCTAATCAGATGATGATTGGATCTGGGATTCTATATTTTATTTATTTATATTTAAAGAGAAGGCCGTATACGGTACAGGAAGAGGCAGAAAACAGAAACCCCCATCTAAATAATAGCACAATATAAAAAACCGCCTTATAAATAACAGTATTCTGCTGTTTTTAATAACTAACTACTCGTTATTCATGTAGCCTATTCATAGTTTATCTGAATCACTTATAAGTTTTTAATGAGTGTTTTTGCTCTGGTGTATCTGGTGCTCTTATTATCTTATCATCTATTCGAGTAAATTTTGTATTTATTTCCAACAATTACCACAAGATAACTTCATCAAGTAACTATTAATAAAGTCGAGTTGGTGTACTTCCTTAGTAAGATAAGTAAGATAAATATTTTGTTTACACAATATATTTTATTTTACTTTTTGGGACTTCGGGGGCTCCGTAGAAAATAAAATAATAAGTAAAGCCAAATTAAATTGAATTATATCAACGATAAAAAAAAAAAAGTAAGAACATGAACTATAACGATCGTCAGTGTTCGTCATATTTTTAATGTTGTGGAACCTTTGTGTTTTCCTCAGTTTCCGGCCGGAGCACAACACCGGGAACACGAAATGGCGACCTCCTTGCTACGGTTAGGGCGACTTGGTTCCCTCAAGGTAAAACCACTTTCACTGCATCTTAAAGGTGTTAAGTGTGTGTTTTTTTATTATTATTCTAAACATTCATAAAGATCTAAATACAGAATTACGAAGACAGTGAACGTCACACAGTTTAACGTTAGCTCACAACGAACCTGACCCTGAACGCACCACCGAAAAGGACACATCCAGGCTTATCGACACCTGAAAAACCTGGGGAGCCTCTAAATACAAACATACCTGTATTCCAACTATTCCAAATATACAGTTTAACTCTGTTTTCACGTAGAGTTTGAATATTGTGGAAAAATGAGTCAGGACCGTATATAAGGAAAGCTCGAGAGCTCGGATTGTGTGTGAGGACGTTTTTTTTTTTTTGTAATTTATTAAACATTTTGGCTCAATGTTAAGATCATTTTTTATTTTAAATATGGCGTAACAATTTTAGCAAAAATGTAAATAGGTTATAAAGTGTCTGTAAACATCTGCTACTGTTCATGCTACTGGCCGAACTGGGCCACTGACATCTACAGGGGTGGCCGGAAGTGGCCCAAACACCAAAGACTGTAAATATTAATGGACGAAGCCTGAGTGACGTCTCCCATTTGTTACTGCAGGGGGCTTTGGAGTCAATGGTGGTCTCCATGCTGGAAATGCTGTTTTAAGCCTAACTTTCAGTCAACCTAACGACAGGCTGAGAGCTGGAGCTGAGGCGGGTTTTAAGCCTCATGACAAACTGTTACACCAGTTTCTTACACGCCTGTCAATCAGGTCTTTCATGTTGGCATCCTGACACACCCGTTTTGGACACCCCTCGGTTTGCCAACAGGTGTTGTAGTGATGGAAGCGGGCAAGAGAACTGGTTCAGATAGAAGTGATTGTACCCGACCTAAAAAGCCTCTGCATGTTTCTAATAAGCTCCACAGCAGAAACGTGCTCAAACTAGGATCAATATTGAGATGCTTTTGAAAAATGGAGAGAGGTTAGAACACAGAAAGGTTTACAGACTGATACAGAGCTGGATAAACACTGAAGCTTCAGTGTCCACCACATGTTAACCTGCATGAGCATCGACTCTAGAGAGGAGGAGGGGGGAGACAGGTCTCTACAATGTTTAGAGTTCGTACTTTAAACTTTAAACGCTAGGTGTCAGATTACATATTGCTCCTTTAATTTGGGTTCCTCAGGCTGGGTGATATGGACCAAAATTCAACTCCTATATTTTTAAGCTGAATGTCTAAACATGAGATATACATCTCAATATTCATTTCTGTAAAGAAATAGCGTAAACAAAATCAGTTTAAATTCAAATCCAAATGTATAAATTACTTGTTTTTTTTTTCATTTTTACCTTTGACCTCTCCGCTGCATCATGTCCAAGTTGAGTGCTGGTTGAAGTTTTCTCGTTGCGCGTTTGGTTCTCACAGTCAGAGGTGTCTGCTCTCTCCTGCAGTGTCTCCGGTTGGAGAGCTGGGGCGTCCTGAGGAGTCGCTCGGCTGCGCCGTTCTGCACTCAGGCTGAAGAGCCCCCGAAACCAGCTGCGAAAAAGACCAAGGCAGCAAGCAAGAGTAAGGAACAGTCGGTTCTGTTTCCTTTCTCAAGTCTAATATTTAGAGTTAAACGTTTTCATGATGGTTATTTATTTTTGTAAAATGATGTTTCACACCTTTTTGTGTCCATAATGTTACATCCTAAAAGTGTTTTTATGTTAACATGACACTCTTCCCTTTCAGTGCATGAACTGTGCCAAAGATCTGTTTCTTTTCTCTCCCAGTAATCCTCCATCTTCTTTAAAATAAGGTTGAAGTGTTGCTGATTGTTTCTGGTGTTTTATTTTACAATGATACTATATAAAGGTTAATGGTAAGTTTGTTTTGATTAATGCATAGTATTGTCTTCAGGTAATTCTGTTTCTCCTTTTTTTTTTTTAGCAGTTTTTGGAAATTTAAAAGTTGGAAAATTCCAGAAAAACATAAATGGATGAAAGTCACATTTTCCCTTGGAAGTTGTTACTACTGTACTTGATTATTTAACCATTTTTGTATCATTTACACTCTTCTTTAGCAGCAGAAGTTCCAGATGAGAGAGCAAAATTGCTAGCCTACAAGACTGCAGTTGCCTTCCCAGTTAGACTTTCAGAACCTGCAGCTTTCACAGCACAACCTGAACCAGTGTCCAGCCCGGCTGCTGCTGCAGAAACTATTGTAGCTGCAGCAGCCGCAGCGCCTGAAGCTACAGCGCCTGAAGCTACAGCGCCTGAGGCCGCAGCGCCTGAAGCTGTAGCATCTGAAGCTGCTGCTGAGCCAGTGGCTGCAGCAGAGGCTTCTGCTCCTGAACTAGACACAGCTCTACCTGTAATTGACGCAGCCACACGGTAGTTGACGCAGCTCCCACAGTTGCTGAGCCCCTGGTCGATGCAAGCACTCAAACCTCAGCACCTGAAGACACTCCAGCTGCTGCCTCCACCACTCAGGATGAAGTCCCAGCCACCGTGGCCTCTTCTGAGCCTGCTGATGCTGCACCTGATTCATCTTCCTCCTCATCGTCCAGCGATTCAGATTCTGACTCGGATTCTGACTCTGAGGACGAGAAGTCGGAAGCAAAGACAGCGTCCCCAAAAGTGTCGGTATCTGCTGTGAAAGAAGAAGCAGAAGTGAAGGAAGAGCCTGAAGCTGAAGTTGTTCTCGCATCCGCTGCTGAGGCCGTGCAAGAGGCTGCAGCAGCACCTGCAGAAGAAACTCAAGCTACCGTGGAAGCCCCCATTGCTGGCTCAGAGGAGTTGGTAGACTCTGCTCCTGAGATCTGCACCGCCACCGAAGACACACTAGAGGGCAGTGTGAGCACCCTGGATGCTATAGCCGAAGCTGCAGTGGAACCAGAAGTAGATGTTGTTGCAGCGCCTGCTACCCCTGATGTTGAAGTTGTCACTGAGGCTGCACCCCTAGAGGAAGCTGCAGCTGAAACCACAGAGCCCACAGAAGCTGCAGCCGAGCCTGCAGAAGCCACCGCTGCCCCCGTGGATGCTGCCGAAGAGTCTGCCTCTCCTGAAGTCCCCGTAGAAGTTGAAGCTGTCCCAGCTGAAGCGGCTGCTGAGGCTGCAGCTGAAGTTTCTGCCCCAGTGGAGGAGGATTTGGTGGATCCTGCTCCTGTAATCGCTGAAGCTGCCCCCGTAGAAGCTGCAGAAGTCCCTGTAGAAGCTGAAGCTGCCCCTGTAGAAGCTGAAGCTGCCCCTGTAGAAGTTGAAGTTGCTGCAGAGCCTGTAGAATCTGAAGCTGCCCCTGTGGAAACTGCAGAAGTCGCTGCTGAGGCTGCAGCTGAAGTTTCTGCCCCTGTGGAGAGCGCGGAAGAGTTGGTGGATACTGCTCCGGTCGTAGCTGAAGCTGCAGGAGAGGAGCTGCAGGCGGAGGTCCCAGTTGAAGCACCTGAGGGTACACACTACACCACCCTGTTCCCAAAATATCTACTTCTCTCTTTCTTCTTTTGTGGATCTTTTAGCCCACACAGATGACCCTACTTCTCTTTTTATCACTCATAACAGATTACATGTAAAGTTAAGGTGTTAACCACTCATCCCATGAAGTAGTACTTGTTGCTTTCACATTTTCTCTGCGCCATCACTGTCACATCTAACCTCTCATTGCTTGGTTTTCAGTTTCAGTTCTGCATGAGAGGAATGTAGTGCATGTGGATTTATATTATGTTTGCAGGGCTTTTTTTGGTGCACTCATTTTCCTTTCCCATTTGACTTTGCCTCGCCTTGGCTTGCAAACTGAAGTTTCCCATTTTATATCTTTGACTCATCCACATGCTTGTGGATCCTAATACTAATCCTGCTCATGTCTCTGCCTTTAACTTCATCTTTTCTGACTCAGGACACTTCTTCTTATCCCTTCTCTTGGCCTTCTTGCAGTTTGCATATCCACCTTCACTCCCAGAGTATTTGTGCCATATATGACTCTTTTATTTTGACATCTATAGGTCCGTTTTGCTCATTGTTCTTGTTTGAAATGTCTCTGTTTGGATGATAAACTGGCCACAGGTGTGGTCTGGTTAATGTTAATGTTACAGGTAAATGATTTCTTTGTGCCAGGTATTGCTATTGCTGACAGTAATGTTAGAGTGCACGTGGTCATACTGTTATTTCAGTGAAGACGAGTCCCCGACAGCAGCTGGACGAGCAGAAGCTGGGAGTGGTTAGAGTCGGTGGAGGTGTTTCATGAAGCAGAATTACTCAGTTATGCAGATCATGATCCAAATTTTGAATCAACATCAGAAAATGTAAACATTCAAACCAATCGTCAGCTGTGTTTTTAACCCTTGGGTCCTGTTTTGACACATAACAACAGGGTCTACATGAGTAAGAGGTGAATAGTTCTGGAGTATGAACCAGCTTTGGAGCCTCGGGTTCGACTTCCATCCTCTGTCCCTTTCCGTGCATACTCAAAGAAAATCTCTTGAAGTCTTATATTAATCTTACCGCTCGATACACAGCTCAGTGCGTCCTTTCCTTTCTAGCCTGACATCCACAGATCGACCTAACTCGGTCAGCTCAGCAGTCAAGCAGTCAAGAAGTGCATTTAGGTCTGAAGCTATCCCATAATGAGGGACACTTTTATTAAAGTAAAGAAGAAGTCCAGTATAAATACTAATGTCCTGACCTTTGGTAGCTGCACTATCAGCAGGCTATGATTTTCTGCATCACCAACATAATGCATGTAGGTTCATCGTGCTGCTGCACAGCTTTGTTCTGTTGCATTTCAAATCATCAAGTTTGCGCATCCCTCATCCCTCAGCTGGTGAATTTTGTTGCTCACAGGTTGTATCACCAGGACACAAAAACACTGCAGGAAAGAGTTTGAAACCTCATGATATGTGGAACTCTGAAGGTAGCCTCTTTGTGAGCGGGTTTGGGGTGCAACAGCAATGATTGCAGACAGGATGATTCTTTTCAGACGATTGAGGCAGAGGCAGACCAGCAATTCTCAAGCTGTGCAGGATCAAAATGACTTTTTTTTTTTTTATAAACGGAGCCTGGTGGTTTTAAAGAGCCAGTTGCAAATAAAAAAAGAGGCCGACCCCTTAAACAAAAAGCTCTATCTTTGTAGCATCCTTTCTGTGACGTTGTCAGGCCCTAACAATTCGAGCCTGTCAGGGACAAAAACACCAACTTCTGGTTAACGTCTAAGGACACATTTGGTCCAAAGATTTAGCAGCAACTATTAGACCCCATTTAACCTTTAAGTATTCAGACCCTACAGCATGTGATATATAGGACCCAGGTTTAAAAAGACAGAACTACCCCTTAAAGCAGCGGATCAAACCTGCAGCCCACTCTTCTCAGACCAACTGGGTAACTCTGCTTTCTGGAACGACCCCCCCCCCCCCTTGGTTGTTAATTTCACCACTTGTTCATTTCTTTCCCCTTTTTTTATTGATTGACGGTATTGATTAATGACAAAATGTGAATGTGTCTTTGAATGTGTCTCTGAGTTTCCTCAAATGTTGTCTGAAAGCTGACTGTCACAGCGTGGTAACGAGGTCCCAGGACAGAGATCAGATCAGTTTGCACCTCCGAACAATCAAAAGCATCAAAGTCTTGTTTTTAGCACTCTAATGATTCTGACTTGTTGCCCTTTAAAAAAAAAACATTTCATGCCTGCTTCGTCCAGTGTCATTATCTCTGGAGTTTCTGTCTTGAAGCATGTGTGCCTTCACATGATCTCCCCTAACAAACATGAGGCGTGAGGCTTTTCACACCCGCGTGTCTCCACACTCTGTTGGGGGTAATGCAGGCTGTAGGAAATGTTCCGCCGTAAACCACCTTTGTCAGCACGTGTGAAAATGTAAATGTGCAGTTGATTTAAAGAGATCTCATCTATCAGAAATACCTTGAGAAGGACTTAAGTGCAACTTTTGATGCTTTAAATCAGTGAAGAGGGAATAAGTTAAGACCCCGTGTTGCGTTTGGTTAACATGAAGTCTTCTCTGTTACCTTAAACCTCCAGAGAGATGAGTGTTCTCACCTTTTTTTAATCAGCTTTCTCTAATGCTGTTTTCTGTTTCTCCCCCCTCCCCTCCGGCCTTCTGCAGAGGCTGCAGCAGTGGCGCCTCCAGAGCCCGAGGAGCCGTTTGACAACAGCACTTACCAAAACAACCAGCACCACAGCTACACCCCGTACACATTCGCAGACCTGGATGTAGAGATGGCCAAGTTTCGTCTCCCTCAGCCTTCGGCCGGCAGACAGTAGAGGGAAACCTTTAAAGAGCTTATAGAAGAAGAAGAAGATGATGATGTTGTCCCTCCTTACATATGATCACCCCCCTTTACCTGTCAGATCTGCATGAGATCATGCTGTTATATTATTAAAATACACAAATGAGAAATGGAAAGTGTGATTCTGTTTTGTCTTGTATAAAAGAAAAGGCGTATGAAAGAGGGTAGGCAAAGATCAAAAGCTTCTTTTATGCTGTTTCTGCCTTAGGGGGGTCATTTGAATAAAGCTGAGTGTGCAAGCGGTTTATCTGTGTTTCTATTTTAATGAGTACAGTGTGCACTCCTGCCCGCCTGCCTGCACACAGCGTCCTAATTATTCGAGCTGTACACATTCTTTTCGGGGTAAACAATCAGCATCTGTTTTTATGTTTGCCAATAAGTGTGTGTGTGATGAAACAATATGCATAAAGACATAGAAAGATGGAGATATACATAAAAACTAGGCTGTGCAAATTAGGGCATTAAAGAAACACGACGTGATTTAATTATATTGGATATATTTCCTAATGGGGCGTTTAAAATCAGGCCAAAAGAGACAATAAAAAGCTACATACATATAGGTGCAATTTAGGCTCTTAAAGGAGACATTAAGGATTATATTTCAGGCTTTTACATATTTTAACCGTATCAACACTTTACATTTTTAAGGTCCCTGTAAGGTTTTGATTTGACGTCTTGTACCTTTTCTAAACTGGTTACATTTGCAGTTTCCTTTCCGTCCAGTTGCATGTGTTTGTGAATGCATAATTTTCAGGTTTATGAGTTGTTAATCCAGTCACCTCCTCAAAGAACGGTCCTATATGTGTCACTAAGGATCTGCAATTGAAACAAGTAATTCAATTCAAAAACCTTTATTTTAACTGGAAAGACACTGAGGTAGGAAAAAAACTAAATCAGCTAAAAAGAAAACAGTCACATATCTAGAAAACAGCCAGCAACATAGCTTAAAAAAGTTACAAATTGATGCACAATGGTCCGTTACTATGCCCTTAAAGGCTCCATATGAGGGCAGAGTCTTAATTTTTCAAATGTGTTGGATGACATTTCAGGAATCAGGAGCATCGTATGAAAATAATGAATAGTTTTAGTTTGAATATGAGAGAGAGCTCAGTAGCTTTTCTTTAATGCAGCTAGTTTACTTACATTCATATTAAACTGAGTGTGTGGGAAAATGATAAAGGTCAAACCCACAGGTGTGTCCATGAAGACAATCCCTGCAGCAAAAAGAAGCTGAGTTATTATTTGAGTTGTGTGAGGTGTGTGTGTTTGGTTTCTGGTCTTAAATATATCAATACACTTATTATACGCCATATTTATCTGAAAGGTCCAAACAAACATCTTATTTAGAGATATTAAAAGCGATGTATAAGGCCTAAATTGCTTGTGATAAATCTACCAATAGGCCAAGAACATTTTCTTGTTGTGTATCTTGAAATAGGATGTGTACTTTCTGATTTAGATGTAGACATTGTTCACCATAAATTAGACAAATAGAGTTTTCTGCAGTGTAATAACTAAATGAACCTACATTTTCAGAGATGCCTCTAAAACCTTGTCTGACACAAAATAGGCCCCTTCTCTTGGTCAATAACACGTTATTACAGGTTATATCTTCATGCTTATAATCCCTAACAAGGAAAGAAACAGGTTTACTAAATTTGTTCCGATGTATTCTCTCTCTAATACTGTGCTATAATTAGTTGTTATGCTCACAAAGGAACCAAACTCCATTCGGATGCTTAATGCAGCTTCTTTTGATGCATAATATCTGGGTTGCATGAAAACAGCAATTAATTCCTGGGGGAATAGTATCAAACACAAATCTCTAGGGAGTGTGGGAGTGTTATATTCTGATAAAAACTCAGTATATGTGAACAAATGACACGCAATGAGTGTGTAATTATCAACCCATTGCTTAAAAATACTTATTTACGTGTGTAACTTAAATCCTGGTAACTCCAACCCCCAGCAGGGTGCTCAGGGACTCTTTAGGCAGCAGGACGTCATGACTCCGCCCACCTCATAAATATTCATGAGCCGAGCGCCCCTGCGTGCCCTTACGCGATGACGCAACGCGACAACTGCGGGTCCCGATTGCTGCAGCCGCTTGTCAGTGTGACGAAGATTGGCACTCAGGTAAGCTGTCACTCAAAATCCCTCTTTTTCCGTTCCCTATCAATCAAACAATCTGGGCCGCACGCAATAATGCCCCGGGGCGAGGAGCGCGGACCTAGCCGGGGCGGCGGAGGGTGTTTTCGGAGGGGAAGCAGAAGCGACGGAGCTCCGGGAAGAATAAAAAAAAAAAATCTGTATACAGGGGAGGAGGAGGAGGGGGGGTAAAAAAATATGTCGGCGTTTTGGGGGCAGAGGAGGATAGAGGAAAAGCAAAGGGCGAGAAACGAGGCCCGACAGTTGTAACGTTCACGCGGAGGGAGGGGAAGCAGAGGGCAGCTGTCCCCGCTTGATTGATTGACTGATGTGGGAAGGATTTGACGAAGAGCCGGGCTAGCCTTGTGTGCCGCCGATGCTTCTTTACATTACCGTAGTGGAGCAGAACATACTCCACACAGCCATTTAGATACACAGTCATTTTAACTGTTAATTCAAAGACCGGCCGAAGCCGCCTCGTTGTTCGGTCGCTCGCTTCGTATCAATCCGCAGCGGGGTCTTTTTTTATACCTGGCTAGCTGGGTTAGCTTGCTTTTTGGCAGTGATTCCCCCCCCCCCCCACTTAGCTAAATATGGCGCTTTGCATTTTGGCTGCCCCGTACCAGCATGAGAAACACTTTTAACCTTAACACCTAGCCGCGCTGCTAATGTTAGCTGAAGCGGGGTTTTTTCTTCACTTAATCTTAATTTGGCGAGCTAATGGATGTAGCATTAATGTTAGGAGCTAGCTTCATGTTGTGGGTAAACAAGGCGGGCTGCTTTGTCTGTTAAGAGCTGTAACGTTAGCACACCTAAAGGGCAGATGGCTAATATTAGCCCAAAGGCTTTCTTAAACTTTTACCCCTCTGTGCCGCCGGCTAACACACGGCTACATGCTAAGTGGGTGTGTAAGCAGGGTAACATAAGCTCACTGTTATAACAACAAACCACATGGCTGGAGAATTAAACTTTTAAGGTATTTCCAGGACTTGTGATCATTAATGTTTGTTTAAAAAAAAAAAAAAAAAAAACCCAAAATGGTTATAAATGTGCCCCTTCATCTATTCACAACAAAACACTTTTATTTGTTCCTCTTTGGAGGAAGTTTGAAGCAGCTTAAAAACATAAAATACAAAACACATTGATGTACAGACAACAAATCACACAAAAAAACTTAAAAAATATATTTAAAATAGGAACAAAAAGTTGTTGAACAGACTGAGCTGAATGAAACATTCAAATAAAAGTAAATAAGGGATCTGTGATTGTAAAAAGATGTGAAGACAGTAGAAATATAAAACCTAATATATATAAAAAAGAGGGGATGAATGATTTAGAAGAGCGGTAACTTTTACAAACACGTCAATAAGAACAAGGAGGTGATGGCAACAGAGAAGAAGCTAAAATACTCTGCCTTTCTTGAGGATCTGCTGGTTTTCATGTGTCACCTCATGTATTATGTTTTACTGTATGCCTGCTTTCTGCAACTGCTACATGGTTGCTTTTTTTAAAGGTTTATTTTTGGGGGCTTTTTATGCCTTTATTATAGATGCAGGACTGGGGATAGAGTCAGAAATCAGGGGGAGAGAGAGAGAGAGGGGAAGAAGCCACAGGTCGGACTCGAACCTGGACCGCCCACCCAGAGCGGCTGTGGCTCAGTTGGTAGAGTCGGTCGCCTCTCAACCTGAAGGTCGGGGGTTCGATCCCCAGCTACTTCTGATGGTCACTTAACACAGCAACCTGTGAATGTGTAGTTGTGACCTCGATGTGCAAAAGTGCTTTGAGTAGTCAGAAGACAAAAACAATACAAGCTTAAGTCCATTTACCTCTGTACATGAGGCACACGCTTTAACCACTAGGTCACGCCACCCCATCTCTTGTTCTGTTTTTTAAAGAGGAAAATCAGTCGTACATACTGACCTCACAAACGGCCATCTTAATGACTTGTTGTTTGGAATAATGACACAAGATTGTTCATCCCCTCTGAACTATTATCTTACTGATGATTAAACTTTATGTCTGAAATGAGTCTCGCATCACAGCGGCTCCATTTGCAACATAAAAATTAAAGACAAAATTCAAATAAATAAACAAACACCAAATGAATATTCAGAGATCTTCTACATTGACAACATTTAGAAAAGTAATGAACATAAACTACTTTAATGTAAGGACAGGAACTGCATTAGTCCTTTTTAAAGGGTGTTGGCAAACAGGAGGGTGCTTTAGATAATATTTTATTATTTTCTTCTGTAAAAAAAAAAAAAGACTATTGTTCTTCCTCTGATGTCACGACTTATTATCTTATGAAAGCTTAATTCATTATGTATGTTAGCTCATAGAGTACATTTTTTAAAGTTGCTAGGCAACAGTGAAGCATCTTTTAAGAGCTGATAAAAGGGTGAACGTGATGATGATTTGCATAAGATAACGAGCGTTCAGAAAGTCAGGGTTTTATGGAAACATTGGTTTATTCTTATAAAGCTATTATACTTAAAAATGTCAGAGCGACTGTCTTTGTGGTTCACGTTTAAATCACACCCAAGCTGCGGATAATAATGTTTGATTCTGACATCATGTGGTTTCATTTTGACATGCTTTGCTTCATGCTTCACCGTAGGCATCTCTTCCAGGTAGTCTAACTGAAGCTGTGTGTCGTGCAGGTTGGCCACCTGTCCCTCCCGCTCTCTATAATGCCCCAGTGTTTGCAGCATCTGCAGTGAACGTGATGGCAGCCCAGTCGGTCTCCATAGACAAGTACCCAAAGGGAGAGCAGCAGGTGGGTGAGAGGGACCTCGAGGCCCACACAGCCTGCTCCTACTGCACTCTTTCTGCTCGCTCGCTCGAGTTAACAGACGAATAACAGGCGACAAACAACACCGATATGTTTCAGGCTACCACTTTCAGCTTTCAGTTATTTTTAGAGACGATAAGTCTGTCTGGAAAGCCAAACAAAGGGAAACACTTTCTGCATGTAGAACAAACTATTACATCAGTTCTAGTAATCTGCTGGCAGCGTGTTGTCTGTCTGTGGCTGACCACCACAAATAAATCACTGTACGAGAAAGACACTGCTGCAGTGTGAAGTCTGCTTTCTGCTCAGTGTTTCTGTCTGTGCTTATGTAAATCGCTTACCAAACATCCTCATCTGAGTGCCAAATTTGGGGGGGTGTTGAGAGCTGAAATGGATCTATGACTAATGAGAAATTTTCCGCCCCAAGCAACGATTATTTTTAGCTCGTTTGTGCTCAATCTAAGTCATTGTTGAGCTCAGTCACATGGTCGGGGATGGGATTTATGCTCTGCATCACTGGTAGGCAGACACGGTGTGAAGAAAAAAAATGTGTGGAAGCAAAAAAAAAGGAGGAGAAACCTGGCCACAGTGAATGTGATGTTCCTTCACTGCGCTCTTTTTAATGTTTCCCTTTATTTGCGACAGGTGTGACAGGGAAGTGTTTAAGGGTTGCATGGGGACTGTAACTAGACACTGTCTGGTTGAAGTCTACTTATAATTTGCTGACAAAGAGAAGCAGACATGGTGTATCCGTCCTCTAGAGATACTCTTAGTTGTTCTGTAAACTTCTGCACATTCCTGCACAGACTGTACGTCTCAGTCTTTATATTAAACAGGCGGAACACACCTAGTTCTAATCATTAGTAGTTTGATTTTGCATGCATTTAATTTAACTTTCTTTATAGTATGGGCACAGCTGTTTACTTGATTTATACTTGCATTTATTTACTGTGAAAGGCGAAATCCCCAAAACAGATTCACTGAATGTTTAAACCTGATTTGCTCGAAACCGTTCTGAGTCTGGTTGAGCAAAACTGGAAGAATAAATTGATGACTAATCAGTTTAATGTGCAGGACTGTAAACTAAAGACAATTCAACGTCTGCGTTTATGAAGTCTGAATTCTCATCACACCAAAGTGAGTCTTTATGAAAGATGTATAGTTTCCTCAAATGGTGTCCTCATGACTTTCTAAAGTGTTAAAGTAAGGCTCTGTGAATCTTTCCCTGCAGCTACTCCAGCTCTTCACATGATGTCTTTAACGTCTCTCACTCCCCGCCTTCCTCTTCACCTCTCCTCCGTCTCTCTCTTTTCGTCTCCGGGATGCTTTGCTTTCTTTTTCTAACTCCTTTTTTGTGGTTTTTTTTCCCCCCACCACAGATACAAATCGTGAAGGTGGACAGCGATACGGAGCAGAAGTTTATCGAGGAGACGTTGGCAGAGGCGCCGAGCCCGGAACCAACAGAGCCGCAGACACCCATGGACGCGGATAAAGCCTCCATATACCGGTAGAGAGAAAAACTGCATGTGTTTAGTGAGGAAGAAGCCGAGTGACGTTCCACCTCGTTCTAAATCGAGTTTTTTTTTTTTTTTTTTGTTGGTTTTAAATGTATTCCTTTCAGATTGGACAGAAACTGATCCATCATTTCGTTAGAGTCCTCCCCTTTTTCATGTGACTTTCTGATTTGCTCTCTGTCTTTGTTTGTCCTCGCTGCACACTTGGAGTCTAATCAGGCCCTAAAAATACATCACGCGCTCTCACTGAGAGCTAATTTATTAAAGATCAGAGCTGCAGAGTCATGATGCTGCAGTCCAGGGTTCATAAAAGATGCACGGCAGATAATTTGCCTTTTAATCCTCACGCAGCGGGATGCTTTAACACCTTTTGTTGTCTTCCATGCTTTATATACTCCAGAGAAAATGCACATCCTTATTTTTAACTAAATATACCATCTTCTTTTGTGTGTGTGTGTGTGGGCGCACCTTTCACAGGCACCCCTTGTTCCCTCTGTTGGCCCTGCTGTTTGAGAAGTGTGAACAGTCCACGATGAGCTCAGACTGCATCACCTCGGCCAGCTTCGATGTGGACATCGAGAACTTTGTCCGCTGTCAGGAGAAGGAGGGGAAACCCTTCTTCAGCGAGGACCCCGAACTTGACAACCTGGTGAGATACCTCTGCTGCCTATCAGGAGCATCCTTTTTATTATTAAATTCATAAATAGGTAAAGGAAAGCTACATTCAGCATCTTTGTGATCTCTGGCTCCAGATTTTTATTTTTGGGGGCTCATGATAAAACTGAGAGACATTTTTAAGTGCTGAGGTATTTGACAAAACTAAATCAGGCACATGAGGTATTTCACAAGAAATGTGTGGAAAGCCCTGCTCATACACACACACACACACACACACACACACACACACACACACACACACACACACACACACACACACACACACACACACACACACACACACACACACACACTCAAGACAATGACCTGTGACCTCAGCAGCACAGTGTGATGCAGTCGTGTCCACCGTTGATTCTTTAATGCTTCGTTTCATTGGAGCACTGGACCCTCCTTGGATGATCAGATTCAACGATCAGCATCATAATTTCTGTGAATCTGGTTTTGCTGTTTAAGTTAAAACATGCATCACCGTGCTCCAGCTGACTCTGACCTCTTGGATGTTTGAAATTCAGCATCTCTCAACAAAGAGCTACATGTAGAAGAAAGAATCTGACACACTTATCCCAACTGCTGGTGCTAAAACGTGTGCTGTGTGTTCTGGATTGTGCTCTGGACAGGCGTATGCATCTTTTTATAAGTTGCAGTTAACGTGTAATTGTCCTGGATTATAAAATATGAAAAAGGACTAACCTCGCACCAAGGCCATGTAGTTCACTCTTAATTGTTTTGTACATTTTTCTACTTCAGATGGTGAAAGCCATCCAGGTGCTGCGGATCCACCTGCTGGAGCTGGAGAAGGTGAGCGACCTGTGTAAGGACTTCTGCAGCCGCTACATCGCCTGTCTCAAGACCAAGATGAACAGTGAGACTCTGCTGAGTGGAGACCCGGGAAGCCCCTACTCCCCCGTCCAAGGCCAGGCCCCCAGCTTCTCCCCCATCAAGACTCAGGTGCGACGCATCAATGGCAACAACATAAACCTGCATGTTGTTGTTTTATTTTCTGATAATGTGACCTGCTCAACATGTGGAAGTTAAATCAAACATGTGCTCTATGTTCTGCAGACCCCCAGCTCCATCTCGGGGACCATCAGTCCTCAAGGTCAGATCATGGTGCAAGCGTCGGCTCTGCAACAAGGGAATGTTACCGTGACAGCGGTTAACCCCGCCCAGGTGGTCGCAGGTATGTCACCATGGCATACAACCCCTTCCTCAGGTACTGTACTGTTGTGACTGCAGCTGACATTCTGACATGAACCAGTGGGACGCTTAGCTCAGAGCTTCTCTGCAGCCTGCTCTCAGCTGATTATACTGTGCTGAACGTGTGTGTGTGTTTCATCCAGGTGGCACGGTGTACCAGCCTGTTACAGTCGTCACTCCACAGGGCCAGGTGGTAACACAGGCGCTCTCTCCGGGGACAATACGTGTCCAAAACAATCAGGTAGAACACCTCTTAGTGAGACTGTCTGCACATATTTGACTCTGTGTGATGAAATGGTTTGCAGAATAAATCTGTTGCATGTTCACTAAAATGTAAGACAAAGAACAATATATTTATCCCATTATGCAATGTGTTATACCGACATTATGGAGCAGGATACTTTCTGCAAATATGAAGTCATAAAAACAGGATTCCTGCTATGACATCTGTGCTGTGGTTCATAAATGGAATTATCATTCTGCAAATTTAAGGATTTTCTGATATTTGCCACTCCTTAACTCACGAGTCTGATTTTTGGCTAGTGGATACAAATAAAGTAACGGTACAGGGTTTGAATTAGAACACTTTCATCTTTTATTTGTGTAAAGTCGCTTCATGTCCGTCTCCCTGCTCAGCTCCAGCTGCAGTTCCACCAGGACCTGAACCTCTTCAATCACGACGACAACTCAACCAAGAACAAACGTGGAGTTCTACCCAAACAAGCCACCAACGTCATGCGCTCGTGGCTCTTCCAGCACATCGGGGTGAGTCTGTGTGAACCGAGTCTCTGCCTCTCTAAGGCCCCGTGTCCACCTGCCGTTTTTCTTTTGAGCGCCAGCGTCTTTTTATCCAATTGTTTTCAATGAGGAGAGAGCATTCACAGCAGCAGGCAGCCGCCCTGAGAAAAAGCGCAGCGCTCAGCATTGTTTTCTGTGTGGTCTGCCTTTTTTGTGTGGCTGCTGGAAGCGCTCAAGTTGAAAATCTTTCAACTTCTCAGAAAAGCGCTTTTGACGTCACGGGCGCTCTTTTCCAAATGTATGATATTTCCTGTAGTTTTGTCTCCTACAGATCGTGTCTTGTACCCACACCCTCCTCGCTCTGTGTCTGATATTGAAATAAACAATCTCAAATATAAAACATGCAGTAAAAAGTAACAGAGCAGTGTCGGTTGCACAGTGGCCATTGTCAACAGACTGTTGTCATGGAGACAAAACACTGAAGTATTTTTTTTTCTGTCTGCAGCATCCGTATCCGACAGAGGACGAGAAGAAACAGATCGCCACTCAGACAAACCTGACACTTCTGCAGGTCAACAACTGGTGAGTCGAGGCGCCCTCTTCAGGCGGTCCACAAACCTAAGTCCAGAACCACGAGACTGCACCATCCCCTGTACAAAACGTAACCTGACCGGTCTCATGTCTCCAGGTTTATAAATGCACGGAGGCGGATCCTGCAGCCCATGTTGGACGCCAGCTCGTCTGAGACGCCAAAAACCAAGAAGAAGACTCCTCAGAACCGACCTCTGCAGCGCTTTTGGCCCGACTCCATCGCTGGAGGAGGGACTCACCAGCAGGTTACCATGCCAGACGGTATGCAGCACCTTCCCACTTTTGTGATGTGGTTATTGGAGAAGCTCATGTCCCGATAACAATGGCGTTTTTTACGATGTGTTGACTTAACAGATTTCTATGACCTCACACGCCGCAGGGATCATCGTCAGTGGGCTTAATATTCATAAGGCGTTCATTAATTATAAGCATCGTTTCCCCTCCTCCTCAGGTACTATGGTGACGATGAACGTGGAGGGTCTACAGAGCCTGACGTCAGACGGCGCCACGCTGGCGGTGCAGCAGGTGATGATGGGGGGCCACAGCGAGGACGAGTCGGGAGACAGCCTAGACGAGGACGATGACGCGGACATGGCTGGGCTGGGCCTGGACAACAGCGACTCGTTGCAGTAGAGGACACGCTCCTTCACACTCTGATCTACACACAACATGCGCCAAGCGAGTCTCCAGAACACGCACACACACACACACACACACACACACACACACACAGAGCACAAATCTACAGGACGTCCCGGGAACGCTCCTGCACTCTTCCAACCCTCCACCCTGCTGAACGGGCAGTTAACCCTGCGTGTGTGTACATCACGAGTTTCATTTGAGAAACCCGTTTTTTAATTATTTGGTTGACGTATGCGAGTGCACTTTTTTTGTATATTTAAGCTCAAAAAGATTAAATCAAACATATGGAAGAAGAAAAAAAAAAAGTGTTAAAAAACACCCGAAACAAGTTTGTATGCTCCGTTATTAAATGTCGACTGAGTTGTTTTCTCGGCCCCTCGCCCCCCCCTCCCTGAGTTGAATTCTCTTTTTGGATGCCAACACTTTTAAGTCGTACCTGTGAGGGTTTGTCTTCACTTTTTTGCATGCTTGTGTTTCGAGTAGATGTGCGCACTCTCACGGCGGGCTCCGCGGCTCTCGCACGGGGCCGACGCGGAGACATTTTGGGGGGGGGGAGGAAAAAAAATGGAGAGATGCTTATTTTTATATACAAACATATGTAATTAGTGTTTTTGTTCCATTTTGTTGTGTTCTCCTGTTTTGTAAGGAATATTTATGTACAGATTCATAAGTAAGATTAGCGACTCTGTTTTCCAGGGTTCTTTGAAGTTTTCTAAAAATAGAAAAAAAAGGAATTTGAAAGCTGATGAAAAATTTGCTATTTAAATTGGTTTTAAACGATACTAACAAGGCCTTACGCGTTTTTCTTTTCTAAACAATTCTTGCCAAGAAGCACAAAAAAGAACGTCCGACCCTCTCCTCGGGGTCACACGGGTCAAAATGACACTAAAGTGCAGAACGTGTGCGTGGCGTTCATCGTGTTGTCTCTATGTTGTGTAAAAGTTACCTGAAGACGTCTGACACAGTTCAGCTGACTGTGGGGCTCAGACTTTTTTAAAACGCAGCTCCAGTTTTACCGTCATTGTGTATATCATTCAGTGCGTCTTTTTAATCATTTTAGTAGCTTAGGCGTCACTTTCTCAAATGCACAATCCAGAACACTATGCTAACCACACAATCACGAGGGTCAGACGTGGACGGTCAGACGCTGAGGGTCAGACGCTGAGGGTCTGACGTGGAAACCCATCATCAACAACAAGAAGCAGCAGTGGACTCTTTGCACGCATTAAACTTTTATTTATGTACATGCTACTGCGCTGAAAACAAAGAGCAGTTTGGAAAAGCTGGACTCGTCGTTGGTGGGCTGCCTGAAGGACCGGGACTGAAGCTCTGCAGCCTCCGCGCCCCCCCCCCCTTCCGCCGCCACTACACACACACACACACATGTAGTGAAAGCATTGGAAATCTTTATCAGTGTGTTGATATTTCTGCACAAGCTGGGTGGCCTCTTGTTTGAATATCTGTAACATTGTACTGTACAACAGTCGTCTGTCAATAGTTTGAGTGATCTGGTTTATATCCCTCTTGTAAAGTTGAGACTTGAAATATGAAGCAGCCGAGGGGAGGCGGGTGTTAGTGTTGGGGGGGGGGGGGTTGGGGTGAGTCCTGGTGGGCCCGCGCTCTCGGCTCTTTACTCGCGTCTGTCTTGCTTTTTATGAAGCGTTCTTCACTTTTCTCTCGTCTGTTTTGCCTTAGAGCTTTCTATTTTGGAATAAACGATGCCTAACTCTCTGCCAGGCTCTGTCTCTTGTCTCTGCAGTGCTTACGGTTCTGGTTGTGGAGTTTGATTTTTTTTTTTTTTTAAAAGGAAGTCCCACAGTGTTCAGAGAGAGGTAGAGAGCTGGTTCAGTCGTCTTTGCTCAAAGTCGCAGGGCTGTGAGATTCTCCTCTCTGAAAGACAAAAGAGATAAAAACATCAATATACAAGATTTAAAGGTTCATCTTTACTACGTCTTCTGCACTTAAGCCCACAAAACCACAATTCAAAGTTTTAAAATCAGCTCCTGACAGGTGGAGGGATTTAAGAGGCTTTTATGTCTAAACATCTATTTTTAGCTGTGATAATATCACACTTGAGCATTTATGTTTTTGTTGAGTGTAAAACTAGAAATGTTTGCTGCTGATAAATACAGAAGGAGATTAGTTATTAAACACCTGATTATTTTCAGCCATTGCTCATCGCTTGATCATTTGTGTCATGGAGTCAGAGCAGGGGCGTGTCCAGAGGGGTGGCATGGGCCCACCTTGAAAACTTATTGCATCTGTGTACCCACAAACTTCACGCCACACCTCCATAAGTCAGCGCCCCAGGTGGGCCACCCGGGTCCTCTGACTCTGGACCCTAACCCCTGACCTGAGTCAGAGAGATTTTTTTAAAGAGTCTCAGTGACGATCGAAACGTTTAAAGGAACTTTGTGTGGAAGCAGCCGTCCAAAGATTCAGAGAAATAAGACGACTCTCCTGCCGCCAGCTGCTGGATTCAAATTCCATTAACGAGGAGAACCAGCTGTCGCTCCAACATCACACAACGCGGCCACCGACAGCTGGTCCTGTGAGAACCGTCGGGCTTTAATGGAGAACAATGGGCTGTGTGTTGGAGGGCACGTTCCTTCAAAGTCCAGTTTAGATTCTGTTTTTGAAAAGGGATTGGTGTGTTTTATAACTGAGGCTCGTCATGTTGGGGTCTGAATGACTAACGGGTACAACATTTTGGAACGGCTTCAGCCGACAGCTGCAACAAAAAGAAAGACTACAATGTTAGCATTGGGGAATAATGCGCCTGATCAAAGTCCGTCCTCTAAGAGTCGTTTTTGGCCCTGACAGGCTCAGATTATTGCAGTGTCGATGACATCATCACAGAAAGGATCCCTACAGAGATGAGACCTTATTGTTGAAGAGGACAATGATTTTTTAACCAGGAACAGCCGTGAGATCGTTTTTTTCAAAGCCAACAAACTCTGACAAAATCAGCCATTTTATTTGAAGGAACACGAGGGATAACTGCTGCATGTCAAAGTCTGCACACTGTTCAGTTCCCAATGTGCGAATTTAATCAAACCAGGGCAAACTCAGGTCTCTTGTATATTGAAATATGTCCCTGGTTTAATAAAATCCCCCATTAGGAGCCGTGCAGTGTGCCGTCCTTTTTCCTTTTCCTCTGCAGTCCGTACATTTCTTGCCCTGCACCTGTAAGGCAGATGCTGCGTTTGGCCTGGATGTGCACTCACTAGTTTTCTCTTTTAATTTCATTGTGTAAAACAAAAATTGTTTTCGAAAAAAACTTTCCCTTAAAGGAGCAATATGTAACTCTGACACCTAGTGTTTGAAATGGGTACTGCAGTCCAGAGAGCTGTCCCCCCCCCCCCGTTAGTCAAACTGTTGAGGTCCTGAAATGGTCCCCGGCTCTTCTCATGTACTGACCTCCATCTGCTGTCTGATCCAGCCGAGTGAGCTTGTAATACGAGTGTAAACTCCTGGTTTGTTCCTCATTGCACAGCCGATCCCCCAACTGGTGGCTCCAACCAGCTTCCAAACAGACGAGTGCTCACAGGCCAGAGGACCCCCGCTGTCCCCCTGAAGACACACACACACGTACACAGACACATGCTGTTACAGACAGATGAGTGGTTATAGTCCCAATCTGTCTGACCAGCTCTCAGCCTAAAACATGCAGGGAAACAAGAGCCAGACAGGTAACCGTTAAACATGATGGCTGTCTATACGGCTGCTGTTCTGTTGGAGCATACGGTTCAACAAATATTAACTATAACATTTATGATTATAAACAAAAACTAACTTAGTAATGCTGCAGCCTGTGGTTTCCCTCTACTCAAAATATTTTAAGAGAAGTTATTTTTCTAAAGGAACAATATGTAACTCTGACACTTGGTGTTTAAAATGGGTACTGCAGTCCAAATTTCAAACATTTGAGAAAGCCGCCTCCCCCCGTCCCCATCTCCAGAGAGTCGATGCTCACACATCCAAAACTACTTGAGGGTAATTTTCAGACTCAGTTTGTGAAGTTGAATCCTGCTGTGCTGCTGCTCCTTTAATGCTCCATGAACAAGAATGCAGCTAAAGATGCACGTTGACGTGGGATCTTCTCCACTTGTGACTTTCATAATAAACTTTTATGGAGCATTGATTTCAGAATGCATGATGATGTACTGATGCACTGTTTCCTCTGTTGAATACCACCCAAATGTGTACCTGACAGGAGTCGGTCCCTCCCTCCAGGTATCCTGCACAGATCATCCAGGAGGAGATGAGGCCCTTGTACACCTCCGGGTGGTTGCAGGTTTTAGTGGAGAGGAGCGGCACCGTGGCTGAGCGCAGAACAACACTTGTCTCTCCTGCAAACACAACGCTTTAAATCAGAACCAGAGGACTCAGAAATAAAGAAATGATTACATCACTCTGAAGTGACTCACCTTCTTCCTCTGTCGACCCCCAACCAGAGATCCAGCACATGGTGCCCGCCTGGAACTCCTCCCTGTGGTTGGGCAGACAGATAGGCTCCACGAGGCCTGCAGAGGAGGATGTGAATGAACTACAAGTTGTCATTGGACTACAAATCCCAGAGAGACAGATCATTATCACTGTTTAGCCTCATCGAGCTAACTCCACCTCTCGGGCTAAAGGTGCAAAAAAAAAGTTGAAGAATAAATGTTGGAGAGGCGAGAGTCAGACTTCAGATGACTGATCCTGATAATGACACTCATCTGTCAGAGAGGAGGACACCTGAGAGGGAGGGGGGGACTCGTGTCACCTGAGAGGGAGGGGGGGGGGATTCGCCTTACTTGAAGAGAGGTCTGACCTACTAAAACTACGAAAGGGACTCAGGCTTAGTTAGACTTATTACATGGCTGTGTACTTGATTCTGATTGGCCAGTTACTCATAGCAACGGTCTGATATTCCTTGAAAGATCACACTTAGAATAAGAATCTGAGCATGTCGGGGACAAAACAAGATCTTTTAGTGGACCTACAGTACTCCGATTGGTCTGTAGAAAATAAGTAGCAGGCATTACAGCCTCTGTGTCATCTAAAGCAACCTGGAGCCACCACATTATAACAGGAATCACCACAAGACTAAACTCTTTTCCTCCTCTGATGCTGGAGCAGCTTAGACACAGCTGCTGTGACACAGACTGTTTGGCTATGAATCGATGAACACATCACAAGCAGCAGGATGAGAAGGAGACAGTGAGGACTCAGTAACGTCTGGGGAGAGGGACACTGTTACCGTTAAAAACCAGAGGAGAGGACAGTTTCATGAGTGCGATGTCGTAGTCGAGTCCTTTGGGTCTGTAGCGAGCGTGGTAGATGATCTGCTCCACAGACAGAGACTGAGCTCCGTGCACCGGCTGCTCCGTCAGACCAACGTGCACCACCCACATGGAGGGGTCTGCAAACCTGAGACAGGAGAGGACGCATCAGGATCAGTGTGTTTGACCAACGCAGGGAGATCGGTGCCTTGAAGTGCAGACTTTACACTAAAAGCCAATCACAACATTTAAACACATGTTCAGTAAAGAAGCAGCCTGTTTCTGAGAGATTAGACGCTTGTCGAATCATTTCACATGCTTGCTGTTCAGACCCTAGTACCCGGCCTGAATTGCTGCAATCCGAGCGAATCTATGATCCAATATTTTCATCAGTATTTCTTCTGGATAAAATGTCTTGAGTGTCTGTCTTGTGTTTGCACATGACTCACCCGTACACACAGTGAGCTGCAGTGAGGATCCAGCGTGATGTGATGATGGAGCCTCCACACAGGTGTTCACTGCTGAAGTGGAGGCTCACCTGCCATGGAACTGACCCACCCGGGAGATGTTGCCCCCCACGATACGAGTGTTGTAGCGAGGCCTGGAGCCACACTCTGAGAACGGGAAGGAGAGACATCATTGTTCCTATCTGAGGCGTGGATTCAAACACACACTGGATTAACTTAAATAGTTGCAGCATGCTTCAGATAAAGGTCACATATCCTCCTCCTCTTCAACCAGTTTAAATAAGTCTCAGAGCTCCCCAAAACATGTGTGTGAAGTTTCTTGTTCTAAATCCACTCTGATCCTGTATTTGATCATGCCTATAAAACCCTCTATTTCAGCCCTGCTCAGAACAGGCTGTTTCTGTGTCTGTACCTTTAAATGTAAATGAGCTGTGTCTGACCACGCCCCCTCTTGAAGGGCTTAGGTGGCTCGAGCTTTCTTGCACCATGTCCTAGAGACTTAGGACACTGTTGTGAAGGCTGGATCAGACATAGTGGGCGAGAGGGAGTGTAGACCTGGTTTATGGAGTTTAGGTAAGGAGGAGTAAAGTTCTAAATTTGATGTGAGCAGTAACTGGGAGCCATTGGAGGGAGATGAACAGCGGAGCGATGTGTGCTGTTTTTGGGAGTTTAAAGACCAGTCGACAAACTGGTAAATACTTTTGTCAGGGAACACTTGAAAACCTTCAAACATCCAAACGACATGCAAAATATACATGCAAAAATACAAACATGACAAATATACACACACAGCAGTGACATGTTAGTCATGACGTTATTTTAAACCAAAAGAGATAAGACACACACAGTATAATACACACATCTGCAAGCCGTGCAGGAATACATGAGGAGTACATGTGTGCTCATCATGACTCAACAGTCAACATCACTCGGTTTGTGTTCTCACCCAGACATTTCAGAGTGGTCACTTTCCCTGAGCTGCACTGAGTCTTACTGTGAGGAGGAGGAGGAAGAGAGGAGGAGGAGGAAGAGGAGGAGAAGAGGAGCAGGAGGAGAGGGTGGAGAACGAGGCCAAAGAGAAACTTAGCAAAAAAATAAAATGACTCGATATTCCGATTCATGTCAGGTAATATGTAATAATTTGACTAAATGGCAGCTTCACTCAGGGGTGAAAGTAGATTTAAACTCTTGCTGATACGTCCACATCTCTTCAGTTCACACTAGTCAAACTGGACTTTGGGGGTCAAACATGCCGGGGCACGGTACAGATTGTGTGAGTGCACCCCTCTGTATTGAGCTTGATCAAATAAAGCGACCAACAAGCTGCGATGGAGATTCTCTGGATGATGCACAGGATATGCTGCCAGGTGTCACTGACCGTCAACAGGTAGTTTGCATCCTTTTTCAATCATTCAAATAAGAGGCGTGCTTACTGCTTTGTACCTGAAGGCTGTGGCGTTCTGCAGCTTAATGATCTCTGATTGGCTCAGGTTGATGGACACCAGGTATAGCTGAAGGTCATGCTCGATGGAGGTCAGAGAGACGTAGAATGACTCCACGTACCTGACAGAAACACATGCAGCAGCACAGAATGCACCCGATGATCAACAGACTTCTACATCTTTAACATGACAACTATTATTGTTTTATTCTTGAATAATGGAACATCCTACACTTAGGGTTAGGGTTTTTTTTTTTTATAATGTTGCATGTCAACTCTTTAAAATCTGACAAACATGTGCATCTACTGCGCTCATCTTCAGCTCTAAATTTAAACTCTCTCTAGAGTAGCCGTGTATGCTCCAGGTACAAAAATATCCATTTTACATTACACTGAGCCTAAAACGCACTGTGCATTTATTCCTCAGTCTGACTCTAGCTGTTTTAAGCTCCTGTCCCCCTTAAAATAGTCCTTTTCGAGCTGCAATCACCTGTGTCCTGAATTGTTGCGTTAGCATGCTAATGTTAGCGCTCTTTAATTAGCTCTTAGCTTCACATTGCAATGTAAACTGACACAGAATGACAGTGATCTAAAAACTGTTACATGACATTCAAATAATCAGTGAGTATGTTCTTCTTCTTCTCTCTTTTATACACAAGGGGAGGAGCCGGCCGTCCCGTCTATGTAAACACGGCTCTGACAACAACACAGCCAGTGGGACTCGAGCTTCTCACTCATTGTAGACAGCCATGACTCAGAGACACATTTAGACAGGATAGACTTGATTTATGATATATTTATGTGGAACATGTCTCACATTCTGCGTTTAAAGGTCCCATATTATGCTTTTTCTGGTTTTATATGCTCTTTAGTGTGTTTTCCATGTGTCCTGCATGTTTAGGCACATCTATGCGCAAAAATTCAAAGTCTGCGAAAACACGGCTTCTCCTACGTCCTCCTGTTAGCTGTAGCATTAGCCGCATGTAACGTTCGGTTCTAGCCCCCCTCGATAAAAATTTGTCAGTGCGACATCATTGTCAGGGTGAGATCACTGATCTAAGCCCATTGGCTCGTTGAAAAAAACCACAAAACAAACCTGGAGTATCCGAGCTGTCTGCAGGCAGAGAGCCCCAGCAGGTTGTTCCAGCCCTCTGAGCAGACCGTCCTCCAGACCCCCCCTTTCTGAACCTGCAAGACCGAGTTCCCCCCACTCAGACGCACTGAAACACACACACATCGCACAATAAAAAACAAGAGACGAGCAGACAGACCCACTGTCATATAGACAGAAAGAGGATATCAAACAGATTTTAAAAATCTGAATCTTTCTGAGCTGTTTCCTCCTCTCGGTCCTTCTTCTTCTTCTTCTTCTTCGTGTTTGTTTCTATCTTAACTCTGCTGTAATGATGTGGTCATTTTGGGGGCCATCTTAGATGATACTCTTTGTGAAACCTGTGGATCTACATTCCTATTGTTTCTTTCAACCCCTTTCTTACTATCAATTGGTCAAATAAATCCTCCTGGACAGACTTCCTGCTGATCTCACAGGACTGTGTCATCAGATGGAAGTTTTTCTTTATCAGTATTCTGACTTTTATTGGTTATATTTGCATTGAGTTGAGTAACTGACTCATTTATTTATGTTTGTGTTGATTGTTTGTCTCACCACAGCCGAGCTCGTCGTCTCCGTTTTCACATTGAACCTCTCCGTCACACTGAGCCGAGGCGCTGACACACTGAGACGAAGAGCCGCAGCGAAACTTCCCCACGCAGCTCAGACCCACTGAAGACACACACACACAGACACACACACACACACACACACACACACACACACACACACACACACACACACACACACACACACAGAGTTAATTTGACAAAGGGAATCTGTGTGGGACTTGGTTGATATCCAAAATCAGCAAGTATCGTATCCAAGCAGCAACTTCAGGAGTTGTCAAATGAAGCGGATGCTGAAGTGTAAAATCCTGCAGTTCCTCGAGTGTCCACTAGAGGCTGGCTGCAGAAGCACAGGAAGTCACATACACACCCATTCTAAAAAGCCTGTTTTTACAGCAGAGAGCAGAAACCAAATAGGTCTAATTAGCTCATGTCTCGATCGGCACACACTGTACGGGGGGAGGGGGGGTGAATGTTTTGATGACTCATCCGTTTTGATTTGATGAAGGATAAGAGTTATTCACAATAAGGCGTGTAGCTGACCTGATTGACAGGCGGGTGCAGTGTAACTGTAACAGTCTAGATCTAGTCTTTACTCTGCTGCATTTGCACTCAGTCTACTGTACTACTTACACCGACCTCATCGGCAGGTGACCAACAAGGTGTAGCTGACCTGTTAGACTTCAGCTCAGTGTTTGTTTAGAAATACATCCGATCTTTAAACCGTGTGAGCTGTGATCTGTTATCAGCACAACATTCAACACCAGCTGCTTCCCAGAACTGTTAGTGTGAAACCCGCCTCCTGCACGTCCAGGATGTCAGACCACAGGCGCACTCAGAGTGTTTTTAATGATTTTACACCAAATTAGAATAAAAAATCAAACAATGAGTGTGAAAAATGAAAGCTATGAAGCATCAGAAGTTTCTTTATGTTCACTTTTCTAAGTATTTCTCTCCTCTAAGACTCATAGGACTGTAAAAAAAACCACACACACATCTTCTACTACGTTCATAACAAACCTGAGCGTCCAATTAAGGCTGGGTATCGGGGACAATGTGTCAGTGACCTCATGTGGTCTCTACGTGGGTCAGACCTAAATTATATAACAGGTAAGGGCATCAAATATACATGAAGCAGAGGCATGCCATGCTACAGCGGCTCCATTATAACCACACAGCGTGGAGCTCCTTACCTCCGAGGCCGATGCCCAGAACGAGAATGACGGCCACAATGGCGCAGGAGAAGATGAGCAGCTCCAAGCGATGAGCCAGCAGTCTGCTCTTCCAGCTATTCTTCAAGTCATCCTCTACGGGCACAAAATGGTCCGTTAGACATTCACAGTGTTCAAGTTTCATACAAAATTAGCTGCAGACAGTTCAAACAGAGAGGGGGAGGGAGGGGGGGTCTTATCCAACCTAGTTTCTGGTAATAATACAAAATACTTGTGACTATAGATGAGGGTTAAAACATACAACAACTTATTTTGGTTGCTTGTATCTGCAATCTCTAGTGACTGAAAGAAAGAGAGAGAGCAGGTTCAAGCAGCCAAAATAAGTTTCTTCCACTTAAGAAATAAGGCCAGGAGGCTAAGAGATCTGGAGGAAAACCTGGCACATTGATTTGGGCATGTGATTATGATAAGTCCTGGCACTTTCCCTCAGAGGTTTTTCCACGCCAATCCAACTGGTGGAAGACCCTGAAGTAGACCCTGGACTTGATGGTTGGCTAACAATGAGCTGATTAAGAGTCTCAAAGAAAGGTCTGCTGAGGGGGGGGGGGAACAGTCTGCTCATGTGAAAGTGACAAAGACGGCCGAACAAAGAGCTGAAGGGTAGAACATGTGACTGAATCTGGGACAGTTGTTGCTCTATTATCCTCGTCACAGAGTGTGTTAGTCCTCTCATGTTTCAGTCAGATCCCCCTGTAACTCTACTCTGTGTGCTGTAACCTCCTCATCCACTCCGTCTCACCATCACAGAGTCTTACCGCTCATAAAGGTCTGCACCTTGGTGATTGGCATGCTCGGGCAGGGTGCAGCTGGAGGTTTGGACTCTTCAGGTTTGGCAGGTTCGTTCTCTGATTGGGCGTCAGCGTCTAAGCTGCCCAGGGGGCTGACATTTAGTGTGTTGGGGGTCTCGACAGTGGGGAGGTCTTCCTCTGTCACCGAGACCACCTCTATCTTGGAGGGGTCCGGCTGCTCTGGTGCCTCGGCCTTCGGTTCCTAAATGAGAGCAAGAGAGAGAAATAATCAGCTCTGAAGTTCATCTCCTCATGGGCTTTGATTAAGTGATATCTGGGTTTTAATCGAGCAACAAGGAAGATGACAATTGGTAAAGAAAGGTCACTAGTCTTTGCAGAAGTTGTGAAAAGTACAGACTACAATATTTATAGACGGATAAATTTTCCTTTTTGATCCCAAACTTGAGGAAAATATCAGCGCAGAATGAGAGGTTGAGGCAGAAAGAAGACAAAGAAGAACAGGTTAACTTACAAACTGTTGACCAACGTTTAACCACCAGACATTTTAAATTTGTTTTCTGATTACAGCAGACTCTGAAACTATCTCCCATGCAAATAAAACAGTGTCTAACTCTAACACTGATATGTGTCCCTAGTCTGATGAGAAAAGTCCATCCTCTCTATAACATAAATATCGTTTAGGGTATCTATATCTACTCGTGTATCGTGGAGGGTGCTGGAAGTAACCAGCGCCTACGACTTTGTAACAAGCAGAGGTTGCGTTTTCAAACCTTTTATGATTCTGTTATTTTTTTAAGGAAGCAAACACATCAACCAATCGCAGACACAAAGTTACACCCCTGAGGTGCCAGACTATCTAGGGCTATCGCAATAAGTTTAAAAATATCTGTAAGGACAAACCATACTCGAGAAGCAAAAACTCAATGTTTTTAAAAAAAGTAGATATCATAAGGGGTGAGGGAAAAGTTCAATAGGCCGTCGTCTGGTGCGCTGGTGGCTGGTGCGGGGGCCCCATGTGTGGAGGCTATGGTCCTCCAGGCGGGCGGCCTGGGTTTGGTCTGTGGCTCCTTTCCCGCATGTCGTTTCCTACTCTCACGCCCTGATTTCTGGCTCTGTTCACTGTCCTGTTTCTCCATTGAATGCACAAAAAGCCCAAAAATAAATCTTAAAAAAAAAGATAAAAAAGCCTGCCGCCTCTGCTCAGACTCAAATACTGGACATAACTATCAAATGAAAACAAGCTTTGAGGAAACTATTAAACATTAATCACTGTTGTATATAACAAGTGTGACCTTTCACCCTATCAGGAGAATGTTAACATGCCAACCAATAAACAGTCCAACTCTTTAAATATCAAACACATTTAGGAAAACATGAAAACCCCTAACCCTCCTGCCTACAGACGTCATGTGATGTGTGGTGGTCTTTTCTCGGGTCTTCATGTGTCAGCACTAATCCCACTTCATGTACTCACTGTTGGGGGGGCAGCTGTGTTGGCATCAGGATCTGAAAACACAAGAAGGGACCAGAAACAGCTCGATGAGTGACGATGATATGGAGACAAAATAATCAAGAAGGAAAGACGACGCGATGAAGAAAAAGAAACAAGCCGGAAGGAATCCAACGTACTGATCTCCACCAAGCTCTTCGTCATGGTGCCATTGTCCACGCTCAGCTGTGCGTTGTCTAAGACCATATCACCCCCCGACTCCAGAGATCCCACTCCCCTGTTTCCTGTTTCGGTCTCCTCCTCTCCTTTTTGTTCTTTTTCTTCTCCCTCTGCGCTCTCCGTCCTGAAGGCTGCCCTCCTGCTGGGCCTGCACTTTGTTTCTAACAGACACCTGAGCAGGTGGATCGCTGCCTCTTGGAGAGGGGATCAGGTGACCCTGCACCTCCCACTCTGAGGGTAGGTTTTCAGACGTGTGTGTGTGTGTGTGTGTGCGTGCGTGTGTGTGTGTGTGTGGAGACAGGTGGAGGAGGAGGCTGGTCACTGAGTGGACATCGTCCGGTGGCTTCACTGTCCAGCTGCTTCCTGCAGACACACCTGTACACAGGTACTGTCGGAAACGTCAGCTGTCTTTTTAGACGGATTAAAGGATCAGTTCATTCAGAGCCCAGGGATCATTTTAGTTTGTGAAGACAGGTGAGATATTTGCTTCTATCTAGGGATGCCCATTATTTAGCATTTCAAAACTGATTCTGCTCGGCTTTTATTTTAAGCTAAGCGTACTTTACTTCCTGTTTGAATCCAACCGTGCTTTTATTTTGAAATACAGTAAGGCCCTTCTGGTAGATGGAACATGGGCCCAATCTCGATTGTCCACACTCACTGACTTTGGTGCTCGTTCCTGGTAAGTCTGTGAGGGCTTAGTGCTGTCCCACTGTCAATCATCAAGTGTTTGAGGGATCTCTCGCTAACTGTATGAGCCCTTTATGCACCCTGTCCATAAGTGGGCATATCTGCAGACTTAACGTGAGGGAATTACCCATAGTTCATAGCATTGTGACGGGAAACATATGAGCCGGGGAAGCCCACAAGAATTGAAAGGTAAACAAATGCCATAAAACTGAAAAAAGGTAGAGACGGTAAAAAACAGGAAGGTGAAACCACGCTCTATTTACAGTCTACTAAAAGAGGTTATTTGGAAACTACAGCTAATTCAGAACTTATTTGCAAGTCTTTAAACAAAAAGAGAGAGAGAGAGAGAGAAATTAGTCCCATAAGATAAGATAAATCTTTATTTATCCCACAACGAATAAATCTATTTAGAGGCCTTTACTGAGTAGAACTTTTTATAAGCACCATGGCTGTGAGTGAGAAAAGTAAAAAACGTTAAATAAGCTTTTGCCACATTACATCATGCTGTCATGGTTACAGAGAAGTCACAAAGTACTGTCCCATTTGTATTTAACCATTGGAGCCCTCGCAGCCTCAATCACTCAATCACTTTCCAGGTGACGTCAATAAAGTCAGTAAGGGCTCAGGGCTCAGGGTTCAGGGAGGACATCGAGATTCAGCCATAGACATGAACTGAAGCACATAAACAGGAAGTGGTTACAGATTACAAAATAAATGTTAGCCCTTGTTTAACTGTGGTCCACCTGGGGCGTTGACTTATGGAGGGGTGGCCTGATGTTTGTGGACTCACGCAAGCAAATTAATTTTATTTGTTTTTACCCTTTCTATCCCCACTGATGATATGTTCTTGTTAGAAACACAATTTGGCAACATGTAAATCTTCATAGCTTGATTCTACAGGGACTCAAAAACAGAGATTTTTCTGCAAAGCCACAATTTTAAGTTTTCAGAAAGTTGCATCCAAACTGTTGTCTTAAGTTGCAAAAATATTTTTTTTGGCAATTAAGTCCTTTTACATTACGACTGTGTGCACAAGTTTTTCCTTGGAATTTTTTATGGAAAGTGCAAAGTATTTCTTTACAACTGCAAGTACGACTATCAGCCTGTTGAAAAGAGCCGGAAGAGTTGATTTGTTCTTAAGTCCCACCTCTGATGAGGTAAATAGCCAATCATAGATTTGGACTTGGCGATCAGGTTTGAAGGGGGGCCCATGCCACCCCTCTGGACACGCCCCTGACTGTCTAAATCATAAATCTTTTTCACAAGAGTTTGATATCAGCATTCGAGGACCAACACAGTAAACATTTATATCTTTATCTCTAAAGATCGGAGAGAAATCTGAGAACGATATCGGCTGATATCTCGGTGTGGGTTTTGATCTCGACCAAATGAGATGACTTCACTGCAACATGATTATATAAAAATAGATGTTTTTATTTCACAATGAAAATAAATAAAACTTCAAAATAAAATGAATACGATCAAAGTGAACGGTTTGAACTGAAACACACGTTTTACTTTCAACATAATAAATTATTCTGTGTGTTCACGTTCATTAAATATACATCTATAAGATAATTACGCTGCATAAATTATTGTTTCTGGACCCTGGAACAAGAGGTAACTCCAACATTTATACATTAGCACCATGAAGAGCCGGACACCGAGGACCTGAAGCCGTCGCTCGAGACAATAAATAAATAATTCTGGAAAAAGTTCACATATTCAAAATGTCCTGGAAAGCCGGGGATGCTGCCCCTGCTGGCCGTTAGAGCACATGCAGGTTCAAGTCACTTCTGCGTCCAACCAGGCACTACTTCCACTTCCTGTCCAGTCTATGATCGCACATTGAGCGTCCGTTATTTATGAAAGATCCTCAAAGTGTGGTGGGCTCCTACGGGAGGTTGAGTACTGTCTGAGTTTCTTACAAGGAAGTAAATCTCCAAATAATTCCTCCCAGTGGATCTCAAGTTTAGGCTGCAGTGGTTAGCGCTGTCGCCTCACAGTGAGGAGGTTCCTGGTTTGAATTTGTATTCCTACTTCGGATTCATATCTGGAAGAGCCGCCCAGCAGTGGATGCTTTTCACGGTGTCTTCCGCGGTAAGAAGTGGGTGCAGGCCTGGGTTCGGCCCACGCTGTTGCCCTTCCTGAGCTCTCCTTTGGTGGACAGAGCGAGATAGAGGCCCGGGTGAGACAGAGAGGAGTAGGTGGTGTAGTGGTTCTCCTCCAGGTTCTCCTTCAGCAGGCAGTCGTCAGAGAACTGCTCCTGGAGAACGACGACAATGTGTTATCTGATTGTTTCTGGTTAAATTATAAATCCTCACCCGAGGTGTTAGGTCATTAATCTTTGTGTAACACAGTTTACTACATACCGCTCCATATGCCTGCCCGTCTCGGTTCATGCAGAGGTACAGGCCGCTCTTAACTCCTCGGATTCCAACCACACCGTGTTTCATTGCAAACACCTTGAGCCAACCTGCAGGAGGGGAAGAACAATCAGGTTAGGAAATAAGTGCTGAGAGCAGGCGACCGTGGCGTTCTGTGGACATGAGAGAGACGCCATTCTCCCTGATGGAAGGTATTGTTCTATTAGATCGACTTTGAAACGATTATTTTAAACTGTAAATATTTGTTAAAGATATCAGGGAGAACATCGACAGCCAGATGTTTCCGCCTACAAGTAATTTAACATCCTCCTAAAATGATCCAATCAGAGCAGCTCGTTGAGTTTCTGCTCCGTCTGTATATTATCCACTTAAAGAGAGCAGCAAACTGAAACGCCTTTCCCCCACATTCAGTTCTGACTTTGACATCAAACAGGATCTTGTTCATACATAGAGATAAACAGTCATACATGTGGACTGAACTCACAGAACTCGGTTGGTTTGTGGACACCTCCCACGGAGCCGCCGGGCAGAATCTGCAGATGGTAACCGATCCCGACACGACAGTAGAGCAGCTGCTGATTCACTCTGGTTTTGACCGGGAGAGGACCGGAAGCTGTTTGATAAAAGAGACACGATGAGTTCTGAGGGAAAGAAACTTTGAAAACTACAAATTCATCAAATATGAAAAGTCAGAAACAGAAACCTGAGAGTATTTCTGATCATATGACACAACGCAGGATGTCACAGATTTATGTCGATGATCTTGAATATATCTTTAATGCAAAACTCGGAGGTCATGTCGTTGTAATCATTCTTTTTGTTCACATTGTTCTAAGAAAAGGATCCAAATGTTCTCAGTTTAAAGGAGCAGTATGTAACTCTGACACCTAGTGTTTAAAGTGAGTACTGCAGTCTATATTCTAAACATTTTAGAGCGCTGTCTCCCCCCGCCCCCTCCTCTCTAGAGTCGATGCTCACACAGGTTGTCATGTGGTGGACACTGAAGCTTCAGTGTTTATCCAGCTCTGCATCGGTCTGTAAACCTTTCTGTGTTCTAACCTCTCTCCATTTTTCAAAAGCATCTCCAATATTGATCCTAGTTTGAGCACGTTTCTGCTCGTGGAGCTTATTAGAAACATGCAGAGGCTTTTTAGGTCGGGTACAATCACTTCTATCTGAACCACTTCTCTTGCCCGCTTCCATCACTACAACACCTGTTGGTTTGACCTGATAACTGCTCTCATATCTGGCAAACCGAGGGGTGTCCAAAACGGCCGTGTAGGGGTGCCCTAAAACCGCCTACGTTCTCTGGTCCAAACAAATCCAGAGCATTCAGGACCAGAATCTAAAGTTAGAAGGAGGACATACTGGTGCTGCATTGTTGTCAGAGAAGCCAGCACTTCAACATAGCATGTTTCCTTAATGTCTGATCATATAGTAAGGTACCTTTATCATTTCAGTTACCACACATCTTACTGACTGCTCCTTTAATTTCAGCTGATATGATGAAATAATTATCATATATATATAATAAAAATAATAATAATAATAATAATTTTATAATATTAAAAACAGATTACATTTGCAAAGAGTTAGAAACAAAAACAAAAACTTTTTAAAGCACACCAAAGAGAAAACATAGAAGATTAGATTAAATAAAGAATGAAAACAAATGTTTGTTTTTACTCTCCTCTCAGAGCTCCTTCTTTAAAAGTCGGATTCTTTCTGATAATTTATTATGAAAGCCATCGTCTTCATTATCGTCTATTTATTTGAATCCTGAGCGAGACCAAACACGGCCTGTGTGAATCGTTCTTATCTCTAATGTTATCGTTCTCCCTCTTTGTTGGACATTAACAGAATAAAAGAGTTTACAACACACGTCATTCAGATCTGTGCTTCGAGCAGCGACATTACACGCTTACTGAAGGGACTTTAATGACTTAAAATAAAACACGTTTTAATTATACCCACGTGCTGCAACTCAAATAAACAGACAGATCTTTTCCCTCGCTGCACCCTCCCTCTGAAACTCTCTAGGAGTGTTTTAAAAAGCACCATCAAATAAAATGTGTTGTCATTATATAACAATGTTGATTGGAAGGGACTTTAATGACTTAAAATAAAACACGTTTTAATTATACCCACGTGCTGCAACTCAAATAAACAGACAGATCTTTTCCCTCGCTGCACCCTCCCTCTGAAACTCTCTAGGAGTGTTTTAAAAAGCACCATCAAATAAAATGTGTTGTCATTATATAACAATGTTGATTGCAGCCTCTGCTGGTGAAGAGGAGTATTGTATACAACATGTATATTTTTGTCAAATCGTTTTATATTGTCCTTTTCTGTATCGATTTTTATTGCATTAAAGGTGGCATTACATCCCGAATGTCAAACACGGGATGGTCAGATTTACGGATCTGAAAAGGAGCAGCGAGCAGAACCATTTAAAAAAAACTTGACTTAAAAACTTAACATACATTTTAAACCACTTTCCACAGTTATGATGTTTTCTTTAACAGTTCACTTTTAACCTCCATGACATAGAAATGAAACAAAACCTTCAGTTTAGATGTCACTGAGTGAAGTCAGACTCTCGCTCACCTTTTGCCTTCAGGGCGTCCCTCATGTGGAGCTTCCAGAGTCCTCGCAGTCGGCTGCCATGATCCTCAGGCGAGACACCTGCTTCGTTTTTTTTTGCTTGCACACAGAGAACGAGGAGCAGCAGGAGGCCGGCGGGGAACAGCACCAGAGACGACACATTCATAATGAAACTCATCAGACACAAGTGATCATGTCCTACCAACTATCATGTCTGCTGTGTTGCACCTTTCTTCTTATGCTACTGAACTCCACTGTTGTCTGTGCTCATTTCCTCCGCTCATACTTCCTGCTTTTATCTCCTGAACGCCTCCTTCTGCTCTGAAGCTCTGACAGGGACACGCAGAGATACTCGACTGTACACATCATAATCAGAGACACATCAGTAACATTGATAAGTGATGTTCTCTGCATGAAGAAGCCCGTTTCTAACTTTTTAACTTCTTCTTCTGCTGAAACAGATCCAGTCTAAAGTCTGTCCTCTAATGCTGGAGTGCGTTGAAGGCATATTCAGGGGGAATTGATGAGTTTGGAGCGCTCTGGCCCCTCGTACATGAAGAGGTTTGTGTGTCGCCCAATCAGGCCATGACGGAGAGGGACATGCAAACTGTCTGTTCGGTATCACAATCACTGAGATTGGAGAGAGAGAGGAGATGATAGAGCGAGCCGCAAAACATGAAACAGAGTAAAACACATGTTCATGTGACCTCAATTCAGTCACGTTTTGTTTTGGTTAGTTTTCATTTTTACAGGATTGTATAGCCTGGAAAAAGATCTAAATGTAAAGAAAGGCATCAGAATAAAAAGAGTCAGACAACGTCACCTCTTGGTTTTAAAAGTGAAGCCAATGCAGAAATGCCTTTACATCTCGTGGCGGCTGTGGCTCAGTTGGTAGAGTCTGTCGTATCTCAAACGGCTGGTCGGGGGGGGGTTCGATCCCCAGCACCTGCATCCACATGTCCGATGCGTCCTTGTGTCATCGGGAAAGCCCCGCCAAAATCGGAATTCCTACTCAGTAACTCGATCGAGTGTCCACTAGAGGCTGCAGAAGCACAGGAAGTCACATACACACCCATTCTAAAAAGCCTGTTTTTACAGCAGAGATTAACATGTTTACAGCCTGGTTCAAAAACCCAAATAGGTCTGATTAGCTCATGTCTCGATCTGCACACACTGTACGGGGGGGAATGTTTTGATGACTCATCAGTTTTGATTTGATGAAGGATAAGAGTTATTCACAATAAGGCGTGCAGCTGAACTGATTGACAGGCGGGCGCGGTGTAACGGTTGGCTTAAAACCCGCCTCAGCTCCAGCTCTCAGCCTGTCGTTAGGTTGACTGAAAGTTAGGCTGAGACAGCATTTCCAGCATGGAGACCACCATCGATGGGACTCCAGAGCTCCCTGTATGAACAGACAGGTGACGTCACTCAGGCTTCAAACATTCATATTTACAGTGTATGATTTGGTGCAAATGTTGAGTGTTCTGGTGACACACAGCATGTTTCCTCCTCAGAGTCATCAAGTGACCTCAGACAACTCTTCTGATTGTTCTGATGTCTTCAATCAGCACAATGTGTGTGACAGAACACACACTATCTCACATGAGTAACAGCACAGGCTTTAAAGGGTTAATACAAAGGTTCCTTTATTTATTAGACACTGCTTGTACACGGTCACAGGGTGGTGACAGAAAGTAAGACATGAGGTGAATCGAAACTTCAGAGGCACAAAAGCAAAACGTAGTCTGCAAAGTAAGACAGCATGATTTCAGAAGAATAGAAAAAAAAACCGATATCTAAGAGTCAAGCGAAAGTAAGAAAGACGTCAGAGCATCGCTTGACGTGGTCAGCTGATTTGGCACATGTAAAGAATTCAGTGCAAAAGAAAAATCCATGTTCTAAGTGATGGATTACAAAGGCAGTCAGCTCAACACGATGATGAAATGAAATGTGGAATGTGAGATTACATGGATAGTCAATCTGTGATCGTTTAGCTCGTTTAAATTACACATTTAATTTACAGGTTACCAGGTGACCCGGGGTTAAGAGGCTCCTTTGGCTCTCAGCTTCGACAGCAGCATCTCGTTCTTCCGACACTCCTGACGACAGAAGAAGGAGGAAAATCGTTATTAGAGGCGGTGCAGCCATCAGAGCTGTCCTGGTTTAAAGTTAAGGCCCTGACACACAAAGCAGACCGCGAAGAACTAGGGGGGACAAAGGCCGTCTGTGGCGTCACCTCACGTCTTGGCCAAAAAGTTGCACTTGAACACACCGCAAAGACTACAGCCGACGGCTAACCACCACGTACGTTTTGTGCATGCATTAGAGGAAATAACTCTCATCGCCAGCAGTCCGTTGTTATGATATGAGAAGACGATTTTCACACAGCTGTCGGTCACCACTCGTATTATAGGTAGCCTACTAATGGAGAATTATGTCTGATAAAAAGTTTAAAATGGCGCTGGCGCTGTCAGCCCTTGGTCTTTTAGTGGAAAAAGAAAAGAAGAGGTGGAGGAGACAAATAAGGAGAAACCGCACTAATGGGTGAAAGCATGGATACTACAGCAGCATGCTCAAGGGGCTTTCCTGAACCTGTGTCGAGAGCTGGAGAGAAATGAAACCTCCCAACAGCCAATCACAGAGATTCCTCTCAACAACCGCACCGACGCTGACCAACTCCTATTCAACATGTTGAATCAGCCCAAAAAAGGCAGACGGGCAGCAATGGAGCCGGACCAACACCAAAAACTAAGGTGGCGATCGCAATTGGACCAAAAGCCCACGATCTCCTTGGTGTGTCAGGGCCTTTAAATAAACTCCCTGCAGCTGCTTGACAAATATCATCTCAACTTATTTCTCCCTCATATTTTATAATGCGTATAAAAGTAGAATCATTAAGTCCGAAGCGGTCAGTGACGTCACGATTCAAGATTTTAAACTTCGACCCGGTTCCAGTGAAAACAAAAAAATATATCTGTACCTGTTTGGATGCCATGGCAACAAAAAGAAGACTAACTTGTCCTTTAATCAGTGAGCTGCATGAGTCAGCTGCTGGTTGTCCCCTCACCTCTTTAAAGTCTTTGACAGTTTTGAAGTACAGTCTCTGTTTGTCGAGCAGCTCCAGGTACTCGTCGTTCAGCTGATCTCTCCTCATTTTGTTCTCCTGCTTCTTCTTCTCCATCTGAGAGAGCAGACAGGAAGTGTGTGTTCAAAGATGACCTCAGCATAAAACCCCCAAAGACAGTGAAATCCTAACAGAGCAGTTTGAGTTTCACCTTGATGCGACTCTGTTTGATTCCCTCCACTATCTGCTCCATCTGTCTGAGGAACTGCTCCTTAGCTGCTGAGGACGACATGGCCCTGAACAACACAGCAGCCAATCAGAACCCAGTTAAACATTACTACGGAGTCGGATTATACAGGAGACACGAAAAACACAAAAGAACTCAGCTTCAATACTCACTGCTGGAAGTTATCGTGAATGGAGTTCAGAAGATTCACCTACAAAAACAAAACAACATTTTATTAAAGGAGCAGTATGTAACTGACCCCTAGTGTTTAAAATGGGTACTGCAGTCCAGATTCAAAACATTGTAGAGAGCTGTCTCCCCCCGCCCCCTCCTCTCTAGAGTCGATGCTCACACAGGTTGTCATGTGGTGGACACTGAAGCTTCAGTGTTTATCCAGCTCTGCATCGGTCTGTAAACCTTTCTGTGTTCTAACCTCTCTCCATTTTTCAAAAGCATCTCCAATATTGATCCTAGTTTGAGCACGTTTCTGCTCGTGGAGCTTATTAGAAACATGCAGAGGCTTTTTAGGTCGGGTACAATCACTTCTATCTGAACCACTTCTCTTGCCCGCTTCCATCGCTGCAACACCTGTTGGTTTGACCTGATAACTGCTCTCATATCTGGCAAACCGAGGGGCGTCCAAAACGGCAGTGTGGAGGTGCCTTAAAACCGCCTACCTTCTCTGGTCCAAACAAATCCAGACGCTCTTGTATTGTCAAAAATTAAGTTTTGGATAAAGTCAAAACATTTGATCATTTTGGCTAAACTGTCCCTGAAACTTTGACGCCAACAAAGTTGCTGAATTTGAAAACACAAAGTAATACCTCACCTCTTTCTCCAGGTAAACCTTCTTGTCGTCTAACGTGTTGTACAGAGTGAAAAACTGTTTGGTCTCTTTGTGCGTCGCAGAAACTGAAAGACCAGGAAAAGAACACATCGAGATGTTATTTCTTTGTTTATGATTTTTTTCAAACTCTAGTTAAGACATGATGTCACAGAGGAACTCACCCTGGCTGTAGAGTTCAATAAATCTCTTCTGGTACTGGGTCAGCTCGGCCCGGCTCGGCACCTCGTCGATCTTTCTCTGCAGGATGGCGATCTCACGGTTCCTGCGAGCCTGAACAGAGGGAAGAAATGTCCCAGATCATTAAGATGTTAATGCCATGATTAAAAAGATATCATCTTCCTCTGTGCGCTGATCATGGTCATTCTGTGTGTGCAATGTTAAGCTAAAAGCTAACTAAAGAGCGCTAACATTAGCATTCTAACACAACAATACAGGCCACAGGTGATTGCAGCTCAAGCCTTCGCTGGAGGAGAGCGGAGGCTTAGTATGGAGGAGGCGTGGCCAAACAGCAGTTTGTTTTGGTTTCATGCTGGTGCTCAAGGGCGACATCTACTGGAGCAAAAGTCGCAAATTCTTCCTTTAAATTCCCCCGTCACTTTACATCCTGTAGCAGAAACTTTAACTGTGAAGGTCACTTTATCCTGGTTTGTTTTGAATATCACACAACCTCTTCTTAAGCTCGTATTATATGTGTCTCTGTAGACTAACAAACAGTCCATGTTGCAGTTTGGTCGTTTCTTGTCGTTGTGGTTTTATGTAAATTTGTAAGTGTGAACCACTGACCTGCTGAGGGACCACAGATGGAAATCAACCAATGGCTGCAATCTGGCATATTAACATGTTCAATAATGTGCACGGTCCCTTTAAACAAATAATAATGCCTTATACTTAAATGATGGATCTAAGTTCTTTTAATTATTTTTTGCAAAGAAACAGATTTGTAGTAAAAGTTAACAAAATAAAGTCCTTATTGTGGATTTAAAGGAAAGCGCCCCTTGATTTTAGATTTGAAGTAAAACATAATGCATTCAAACAACGGATTGTTCCTCTGGTATTTAGAATAATCAGCTGAGCCGATAAGCACACGTGCAAACACAGCAGAGAGTGACCCCCTGACTCATCACTTTGTTTGTTGTATTATTGTCAGTACTATCAATTTGTCTCGTTCTTATCTGCAGCCCGTTATCGGCAGCTTTGACCTACTTCCCCTGCAGCTCCATCTTATTGTTGCGTCATGTAATGTGCAGTAGTTACCATGACCAGGCGGATCTTCTGCAGTTTCTCTCTGTCCGTGTTGTACTGTTTGTCTATCAGCTGGTTCCTCTCCTGAGAACAGGGACAGAAACAGAGGACGAGACGGAGAGCAGATTAAGAGGTTACACTTCACACGTTTCTTTCTGGGCTTTTCATGCCCGTACACAGAGACAGGACAGCGTGTAGGGTCAGACACCAGGGGGAGAGAGAGAGAGAGAGAGAGAGGGGGGGGGAACGACATGCAGGGAAAAAACCTCAGGTCGGTCACCTGAAACCCAGGCCGCCCGCCTGGAGGACCACAGACCCTGTACATGGGACTTACCACTAGGCCACCAGTGACCCCACAGGCTTCATTTTAACTATTTTCCTCAGGAGGCCACTGAAGCTCTTGACCAACCTGAAGGCCTTTTTTCTAGAAAAGAACATCCCTAAATAATACTTCTTGTTTGGTTTGATTTTGGATACTGATGTGTACCTTCTCCTCCTCTGTGTCTTGTCCAGATGCTGTTTTCAGCTCCTCGATGTTCTGCTGCAGGCGGGTCATCTCCTCCTGCACACATCATCGACACGTTGAAGAGAAGAATAGAATCATTGAATGTTTAATACCAGAAAACATCTCTCTAAAAACAGGTGTGTGAGGAGTGGATCCCAGATGGTGACGTTCTTTTAGGGGGGATAAAAAATGAAAATAAACCAGCTGAATTTAAACCCCCTGCAGGTGTTGCTTCTACCTTTGACGCTCCACCACCCACCCAACAGCAGGTGATCCTTCAGTGAGGATTTTTGTGAGAAACTATGAACATAAATTAAGATGTTCCTCTCTGGCGTTCCTGAGATTTTAAATTTGTGAGCATAAAACATGTCGCTGACTGTCAACGGTCGAAGCTGCATCGTTTGTTGTAGTAAGTGTCTGAGTGTGTGTGTACTCACTCTGCAGTGTGTGCGGAACTCCTGCTCCTGCTGCTTCAGGTTTTCATTCATGGTCACCAGAGCTCTCAGCTTCTCCAGGAGGCTGTTCAACGTAACACAACATTATTAAAGAGTCATCAGGGTTCATAAACAGATGAAAGAGTTTCATGTCATGTCAATCGAATATGATTCTTTAAAACATTGAACCTCTGAGGCGCCACTTCCAGGATCTTTAACAAATACAGAAGAGTGCACAGATCTCAGAGGCAGATTTATTTTGTCAGGAGGATCAAACGACATAAAGATGTCAGATATATAGCAGATTTCAAACGTTCAGAAAACTTCAGCATGCCTCCTGAAATTAACTTTGATATCTTCAGGAGTGCAGATTTGAAAAACAGCCATAAAGACTCTCCTCCGCTCACCTGCTGTCCGCCTGCTCCTCCATCTCCTCCAAAGACTTCATCTCCTTCTCCAGTTTCTCCGACTGCTCCGTGGCCTTTTGGAAAGATTCAGAAATGCCGGCTGTAAGACACTTTATCCTGCATCTTAATTTCCTTTGTGCTCTTCACTGTTTAAATAGAAAATGAATCTAAATGGTGGTCGCCGTTTTTTATGATGAGCACTTTTAAGGTTTGAGGAACTTTGTTCTCATGACAGCAGAACAGACGGGACCTCTGTTGTGTCTGATAGTTTCTGCTGACATATTGTTTTATAAAATAAAGATCTATTACATCCTCTGTTAGGTACCAAAATGTCAAACGTTTAATCTCCCGTTAATTAACTCACATGAACATTCAGCAGAGTTATCGATCACGCTTGCAGATATAAAACGAACAAAAGGACGTTAGCAAACGGAGGATGTGCTGTGTTTTTCAGCAGGTTAATACGGTCGGTCTTACCTCCACCAGGTTCTTCTTGGCCTCGTCAGAGCCAGCTTTCACCTCTGCATGTTTGGCTTGTAGCTGTCAAAAGATATTTTTTAAAATACGTTACTGGTGAACTAACAAAGAAGTGCTGCAGCTAGGATGTAAAACGACCATTTGCAATCTGCAATACATCCATCAAACAGGATGCATTCTAAGCTCAGGATCAAAGTGACTCTGTAATTATGTGATTGTGATTAAAGTCATTAAATAATGAAGTCATTAAAAACGGCTCATGGGGCGTGACCTCCTGACCTCCTCCAGCTGTTTGGTCTTCTGCTCGATCTGCTTGTTGAGTGAAGCCATAGCTCTGCGGTGTTGCTGCAGCGGGCCGTAGCGCTCCGATCGCTCCTCAGAGGACAGCTCCGACTGCTGCAGGGACACATGGGAAATGGAGTTTTAGCACAACAAGGACATGCGTTAATAAATAACCATAAACAGCAGCGTTATTGATTTCATCGAGAGCTGCTTGAACATGTGCTCTGTGTTTGTAAATGTCACCATAAATGTCTGCAGCAGTTAATACCTCAGATTTAATCTCCCTGTTTTATGTTTCCCTCTAAAAAACTTCAGCAAAAAAAACGCTTCAAACAAGGACAAAAGAAGAAATCTTTTTAGTGACTCAAAGGGTCTCAACGTGTGACTCTCCACAAAAGGTACACGAGGACCCAGATTTAAGGCTCCAGATCGTATCATACCTTTTTAAAACTTTATGAATAAAAAGCTCAGAAACACAGCAGCAGTTTGGCTTGGACGGCGTACAGGAACTCTGATTTGGAAATATACTGATATGATCAGGTTAGTAATGATATTCTTGGAAGTAGCAATATGTAACTCTGACACCTAGTGTTTAAAATGGGTACTGCAGTCTAAATTCAAACCATTGGAGAGAGCTGCAGAGCGTGCAGCATTGTGTGGTGTTTCACTTTTCTAAAGCTGGTGAGGAGACGGAGGAGTTTCACATTTCTCTCCTGTAGGAATGCCTGAATCCTCCGCTCAGCAGGCGAATCACTGCTGCCTTTGTGAATGAGGATTTTTTTAAAAGCTGAGAAAACAAGAGAAGCAGCTTCTTACAGGTTGAAATATGAGCGTGTTGTTTCTCACCTTCTCTGCGTACTCCGAGGCGATCTGTTTGATTTCCTCCGACTGCAGTCCCACTATCTGACCCACTGCACTCGCTGTCAGCTTCCCCTGCACGGACACAAACCGTCTGTAACACAAGATCATAATGAACAATTCATCTTTGAATTCTAGACATTGAGTGGATGTCGACCTCTTCACTCGCCATGGCGGCCATGCTGGTCATCAGGGTTTTGATCCGCATCTGAGAGAGAAGAATCACAGTTACAACTTTATCACCACTTGAGGGTTAAAGTCTCACATTAAAGTCGTCCAGGTCACAGTAATCCAAATCTTGATCCAAAGAGGCGGCCCGGCCTGGGTCAGGGTCACCTCTGCTTCTGATGGCTTCTTAAATTCTTTGTTTTTGCTGACAGATTCTCATTACACTCGTACGTTTTCAATTGCAAGACTAAAAATAGAATTTTAAAATATTCAATCATTTCTGCTGTCAGCTCAACTGTGTATCTTTGAAGTGCTCACTTCCTCTGCTGCCTGCAGGTCGGCCTCTTCTGACACCTCGGCCATCCCAGGGGGCGCCGACTGACAGCCGCTGCTGCCCATCACAGCTTTCCGCTCGTCCACCTGGAGAGGGAGATAAGATAAAGACAAGAAGCAGTTTATTATATTAAACCAGACTCAAACGGCTTTCTTTCTAAATCAACACCAACAGATGTTTCTATTTATCAAACCCTTCAGCCCCAACCAACGCTGACTCAAGTGACATCACTAGAGGACATCAGACAGCAGAACGCTGCAGGGCTGCCAGGGGTGGGCTGCTCTCCAGTGCTGGGAGAAGAGAGTCTATGTTCGATGTTTCAGCAGCTTACGTGGAGGCTTGAAGCCGTCTGGTGTAATTTTCGTTTCATATTGGGGTGCTATCGTGTGATAAGCAGAAGAAGCAGTTTAGCGCCCTCTGCAGACTCATCCTGGGATTACTCCAACATCTAGGGAGCGGCATAATACTGTAGGTCAACTTTAAAGTCAAATCACTGAAGAACCGGGGTGCCAGATAGGGGTTATGTCGCACGCCCCATGGACAGAGGCTTTAGTCCTCATTGAAGTGTCCGTGGGTTTGAGTCTAGCTTCGGCCCTCTCCTCCCAACATTTCCTGTCAGTCTTTAGCCGTCCTACCCAATAAAGCAAAGAGGCCTAAAATAATACCCTTATAAACCACTGGAGAACCTACCTGGTCTTGTTTAGACTGTTTGCTGAATCCATACCGCCTGGAGAGAGAGACAGAAAATACAGTGAGATAACAAGGCGAGGACATAAATCAAGCCTCAAAGCCTGAAGAAGAAATACACCACCATGCCACACTGCAACACCAGCACATCATATAACATGAAACAGCTCCTCACTCAGGGCAACACATCTCAAATACAGGATAAATTATAAAGTGCATGAAAGCAGCTCCACAGTGTGCATCCATCATGCCTGAAATATGGGTTTGCATTCTCAGGCTGGCACATTAACCATAAAAGAAAGATAAACACGCTGACGCAGTGAGAGGAAGCTTCACACGTTCATTCAGTACTTACAGCAGGAAATCTGACACTCTAGTACACAGGTGGAGGTGGAGGGATGGATGAGAAAACAACATGTCAGACAGATAAAGCGGAGGAGAACAAGACTACAACAGGACATGACTGGAGTTAAGGTAAAAGAAGTCTGCAGACTTTGTAAGATTTTGGTTGAAATTGTCTTACTGTCCTGACAGAAATTAATAACTCATGTGCTCTGAAAAAGGAACAAAGAAAATCTGTCATCTGTATCAGTTGTGAGCCTGTAAAAACTTCGACCAATGTCTGCCACGAGGTACCAATCTGATGAACCAATCACGTCTCCCTGACAAATGAAAACAAAATGTGTTTTGTGAATGCTACAACAAGAGCTGCAAAGATGAGTCCTGCAAACCTATTAAGTTGACTGAAAGGTACAACAATTTAAATATTTTATTCTTCTATTATTCTTCTCTGTCTTTTTCAGCTTTTCAAATGCGACAAGTCTTTGCTCCTCTTTGTCCTGTATGATGGTTAAACAAACAAAGATTCATTTAATTGTTTTAATGTTTACATGAGCATACAGGACATCACTCATATAGGCTGCAGGTCTTAAGTGTTAAATGTGCAGGGCGTCTTAGACTTCACATTTGACTCGAGTGATGCACATTGTCTACAAAAGAGTCAGAAACGTTGGACTCCTCAGGGTGACAGAAGAAGGAGAGAAATGATCCAAGAGTAAAGAAGAGAAGAAGCACTGGATGTTCATACGACTGCTTATCGAGTGGCAAACAGTCATGATTTTTTTTTAAATGCAGATAAAAGTGAGGCGTCTGAGAGCCACAAGGACAAGAGTGAATTCTCAGAAAGTGAAGGAGAACACGCACACACCGTCACACACACACTGTACTCCTGAGGTGAACTCTGACCTGCCGTACTCCAGCAGAGTGGAGTGAACTTTGGACTCCTCGTCCAGCAGCTCTCCGGCGTCTCTCTGCCTCCTGTACCTCCTCTGAGGTTTGTACACCTCCTGAAGAAGAAAGAATAACACATCAGCTGGAGACACGACCAGAAAACTGACTGTTTGAGGCCATGCAGCATCAACATTAATATAAATGCTCAGTCCCAATATACCCCTTGCCCTCTGCCACCTCCTAAATGCACGCTCTGACGAGGGATTGGGTATCCTGATTCTTGTTGGAATGGAGGTGTTATGAGAAATCTCCCAGAATGCCTATCCCATAGCGTCGTCGCGTTTGTTTATGTAAATGCCGTCGTCAACTACTGATGACCTTTCAGTGTCAGGGAGGGTCGTCCCATTTCTTAGAGGGGATTTCGCACTTACGCTCTCATCTTACTCTTACAAGAGGGGTTAAGATTAGAAATGGGACTGAGCCTGATAATATTCTTTCATTTATGGATGAAGTAGTGACATCATTTATGTAATGAATGAATGAACTCACCAACACGTCTAGAACGGCCTTCGCAGCCTTGTCTTTCCTCTGATTGAACTCTTCATCCTACATCACAGAGTTTCACAGAACATGATGAGAGTCAAAATCTGGGATGTGATGTGAAAGATCAGCAACACGTTGTGGCTCTGGTTCTGTTACCTCTGGAAGGCTGTGGGTTTTGTTGAACTGAGAAATGGAGTACGCTCTCACATAGTCTCCCATCTCCTCCCGCGTCTCGATGGCTCTCTTCACCAGCCACTGACGGAAGACAACACAAGGATCATCAGATATAAGGAAAAGTAAAGAAAACAAAACAAAGAACTTCTGCAAACTTCACGGATCACAGATGCCTTCAAAGCACAGATCCTTGACACCTTATTGTCATCTTCACTCACATTTAAATGTGCAAGCCAAACAGATACAGACAAACCACATTACAAAGTTACTTTAATGGTCATAGACAGTATTCATATTTTTAAATGCTCTGCACCTGACACTCTTGTGGATGGATTCTCTCACCTGTATCACTGGAAAGATGTGGATGAAATCCAGCCCTTGGATTTGATGCGGCTCCAGGCGATGAGGACACTTCATCTTGGGTAACACAGAGACTATTTTCTCTGTCAGCGCTCTGCAGAGGAAGAGATACTCATCAGGGACTGATCCAGCTCTTGTGTAAAGTCTTTAGAATTGCTGTTACACTGTTATCAAAAACCAAGAGGGAGGATTAGACACAACCGTGTATCATCAATCTGTGCTGTAATTATCATTTGGTCTGCTGTCTTTTCACCTGCAGCTTTTTAACTGGTTAGTTTGTAAACGCTGAATTGTATTGTGACGATTTGGTGTTGAATTTGTAGCTACCTGAATTAATGAATTTTACGGCGCATGCTTTACTGAGAATGAAAGTCTTCCTGCTGACGGCCACAAGTGCCTACATGTACCAGGATGCATTGCACATAGATCTTTCAGGATACAATGTTAAACTGTGGTGCAGTCCCAGAAGAAGCTCACCCTGTGATTTTACTAGGGAGGCTGGCAGGAAAATTCTGGGTAAAGTTGGAGTGAAATATTCGGCTGATTGGATTCACACTTGCAGCTCAGCCAGAAAAACTTAAGGAAGTTTTCAGGTGTTTTTTGCAAGTGTGAATCAATGGACATGTCTCAATGTGCGCCCTCAGAGTAGCCATATATTTGGATCGGTTACCAAATACTACAACATTCTTAGAGTAAGAGTAAGAGTAAGTATTTTATCTGCTTTTTGTAAAGTGTCTCGAGATAACACTTGTTATGAGTTGAGGCTATACAAATAAAAATGATTGATTGTTGTCCAATAATCAATGTTGACATGAGACAGCTTAATATCTCATAAGGGCAAATCCTTTACTAAAAAAAAACTTACATTTTCTGTCCAATGGTTGAGTTCTCTTGGAAAAGAAGATCCACATCGATGTCAAAGTTACAGGTGGTGATGCACCAGGTCATACCGCCGACCACCTGAAGAGGAAGAAACAGGATGAGTGACGATGGGTTGAGTTACTGTTTTTGTACACGAGTAGCACTGTCATCTGTGTTAAGCTTCTTTTTTTAAATCACTGATGTATGGGTGCCGTTAAACCACAGACCCATTCTGCAACAAGGCCACTTGTTTCCCCCTCAGACAGGCACAAGTAGAGCACAGACCGGTCCTGGTTATGTGTACCTTATCAAAGGGGGACAGCCCTTTAATGCGGGCTCTGAAGTATCCAGCAGCCAACAGGAGCTCCAGGATCTCAGCCAGCTTGATGCTCTGCTCCTCATCCTCTCTGGTTTCCACCTGGGAACCAAACATATCGTCATCTTTACCACACCACCACCACCACCACCACCATCATTGTCTTTACCATCACCATCACCACCATCATTATCATCCCACATCTTTGTGAGGGATTGAGGGAAATCCGGGTAGCCCTGGATAAGAAGATCTGTGGCTTTCCAGATGGGCTGTTTAATCTAATTAACTGAGATAGCTAGCTTGTGCAGGTGTTACGATTTAACTCGTGACAGTGTTGCATGTTGGCAGTTCAGATATAAGAGATGGAAAGTGTCCTAACCAAGTCCTGTTTGTTAACTTTGTTATCATATTGCCAAATGGTACGCACAACCTAACAAAAGAGGCATTCACTTCACGTTTACTGGACGAGAACCACAAACTCCTTCGGCTAAAAGACACCAAATAACACGGTGACCGATCAAACCTCAACATCTGTCACCGTGAAGTTGCAGCGCTTTACGGAGGAGTGTGTCGATATTTGTTCGTCTTTTACGTGTTGGTAAAACTAAGTAGAATCTTTTTTTTAAGGTGTTTTTACCTGAATGAGGTTGCCGTCTTGGTCATACTGTGCTCCTATTTTGGAGCCCGTTCTCACTCTGTGGAAAACAGACGAAGCCGCCGCCATATTGAACTAAAGTGTGGACGAAGGAGACAGGTCACATGATGAACGTGACGCGTCATGTGACAACACTCTATACACTCTGATGCATACTGTAGATATGTTTGTGACCTACTGCAGATCTTGCATTTATTCACATACTGTATACTGTTATTGTATATTTTTGTGTTGTTGTATTTTTACTCTGTCATCTAAATATGCTGCTTTTTGGATTGGGAAAATTAATTAAAAAAAAATATATATAATTGTCGTCCACTCTCCGACACAGTAGGGGGCAGTAGTGCGCCTTTACCCGATATGAAAGAAGAAGAGGACGAAGCAGGGTTTTGCGACAGTGACGCTCACGCTACACTTTACGACAGCGGCTTGGTTTTGCGGCACACGTGTGTGTACAGCTCGGCAGCAGTCCGGTGGTGTTGAACTCTGTGCATCATGGCGAAAGTTTCCTCTAAGAAGAAATTGAGCAAAACGAAAGCGAAGAAGAGCTCCGAGGTGGCTGGTGACAGCGCAGTGAAGAAGACGGAGGTGGTGTACGATGAAGAAGAAGAAGAGGATAAGGAGGATTTCAACGAAAATGTCACCAGTGAGGAAGAGGAGGAGGACGGCGAGGATGAACGAAGACGGCAGAAGCTCCTGGAGGCCATCAGCGCTCTGGGGGGAAAGAGGAAGAAGACCCTGGGGGAGAGGTCGGAGGCGGCCGTGCAGCTGTCCGAGTTCAGCGTGAACGCGGAGGGAGAGGGCGACAAGATCAACCTGTCCGACCTGATCGGCTCCATGGACAAAACCCCCCAGGTGTCCGCGAAGACCAGGAAGCAGCTGAAGACGCTGCAGCAGAGCAACCGGACCGTGGAGAGTCCTCTCAGTAAGCAGGAGACCGAGAGGATCCAGAGGGACGTCGCTTTCCAGAAGGCGGCCTCGGAGGTGACCCGCTGGAAGAGCATCATCCAGCAGAACCAGCGGGCGAGCAGCTGGTGTTCCCCCTCAACCAAGAGGCCCCCGGACCCAAACCCATGGAGAGGGTGGTGACCGGCTGGAAGGCGAGGACCCCGCTGGAGGAGGAGATCTTCGCCCTCCTCTCCGCCAACAAGCAGCCCATCCATGACCCCATCCTGACCCCGCAAGGCAAGTATAGGACTGTTGGCATGGGCATCAAGGTGGGGGGGGGGGATATGACACGAGTAAACATCAGACGATATCAATACCTGTTTTGATACCATGGCAACAACATTAGAAGCCGGACAGTGTGCAGGAAGTACCCAGTATCAGGTGTGTAGGACTTGTCTTTTGGTTACCGTGGTGTCAAAACAGGTATCATATCGTATAGTTTAAATTCTGGTATCATGTCAACCCTAACTCAGTTTTTATGTCGATCTGCTGCTTTTCATTGATCTCGGTATGAAAGGCTTTCTAATTAAACACGCCCTCTGTCCCCCCCCCTGCAGAGGAGGTGTCCATGAAGGCCATGAGCCTGGAGGAGGCAAAGATCCGGCGTGCAGAGCTGCAGAAAGCCCGCGCCCTGCAGTCCTACTACGAGGCCAAAACCCGCAGAGAGAGGAAGATCAAGAGCAAGAAGTACCACAGAGTGCAGAACAAGGCCAAGCGCAAAGACTTTGTGAAGCAGTTCGAAGAGATGGTGAAGTCGGACCCCGCTGCCGCCTTAGAGGAGCTGCACAAGATGGAGCTGGCGCGCATGCAGGAGAGGATGTCGCTGAAGCACCAGAACAGCGGCAAGTGGGCCAAATCCAAGGCCATCATGGCGAAATACGACGAGGGGGCTCGCAAAGCCATGCAGCAGCAGCTGGAGGTGAACAAGGACCTCACGCAGAAGCTGGTGACGGCGGTAAACGATGAAGAGGAGGAGGAGGAGGAGGAGGACGAGGGAGGTGACCCCGAGGTGCTGCCTGATTTTGTGAACGATGCGGAGCAGGGAGTGGACTCCTCTAATCCGTGGATGAGAGGCAAACTTTCTGAAGACCCAGCCGAGAAGGAGACGAGTGAGATCGTGGATCTGACGGCAGAGGAGGAGTCTGCAGACGTGGAAGAGGAGGAGGAGGAGGAGGTGAAGGAAACAGAAGAAGAAGCGCTCCTCAGAGAGTTTGACAGCAGGAGGAAACGGCGTCAGGCTCTGATACCTGTGATATCTCTGGATGACGATGAAGAGGAGGAGAGTAAAACTGCAGCAGAGGAGGAAGAAGAGAGTAAAACTGCAGTGGAGGAGAAGGAGGAGAGTAAAGAGGAGGAGGAGAGTAAAGTTGCAGCAGTGGAGGAGGAGGAGGAGGAGGAGGAAGAGGAGGGAGCAGCTCTCAGAGTTTACAAACCTTTACAAAGAAATCGCAGAGAGCCGACGCGGGGCTGAAGCTGAGCAGGCGGAGGCCGCAGCAGGTAAAGTACCAAAAATAATCAGCACTGATTCATAACGAGAAGGCCGCGTGGTTGAGCTCGTGTTGGAAACACAGAGAGCTGACGAGTGTGACCCAGCGACAGTGCATCTCAGGGAAGCGGATCAGCGTGACGTAAACACCTTCTTAAATCAACCAGAGTGTTTCTATATTTATTTAATCTTCAGACTTAAAACCCTTACAGCCCAAATCAACAATAAGACCTCAAACATTTTGTCTACAGTGGATTTGAATATGTGACATTTGCCTGTGAAAATGCATCTATGTAGCCCTTTTCAGATTCCATTTTTCACCAAAGTGCCGTAACTCAAATCAGCCGACATCACATCTTTGTACGTTCATATTGATTCTGGGATGGCGTAGTATAGGCGTCCCAGTCTGAGAACTCACACAGTCAGACATGCACACACATCATGTTGAAGTATTTTGACGGCTGAAGTCGTAAGAGAGTCTTTTAAAGACTACATTTAAACTGTTACCGGAATAAAGTCGTAATATTTTGAGCAGAGTTGGCAGATTTTCTCCTCCCCGGTTTAATCGGGCGTCTCCACATTCGGTTGAAAACGTCGTCACTGTTAAACTTCTTGTGGCGTTGTTTAAGTGTCTCATCTCGTGGTCTTTCTCTTGCAGCGGCGGACACAGAAACCTCCTCGGCTCAGCTGGAGGAGACCCTGATGAGGATCAGGACTCTGGAGGACACAGAGGAGCTCCTCATGCAGGAGGAGTCAGCCGCTGATGAAGCGCCTGTTCCCCCTCCTGCTGCAGAAAACCCGCCGCCTGCGAGTCAACCAGCGGGGACAAACAAAAAGAGGAAGCGAGGGATCGAGCTCAAGCAAGTCCTCACCAAGGCGACCAAAGTGATCCAGGTCCCGCTCGCTCATACCGTGGAGGACGCCGAGGACTCTGACGACAATCAGGAGCAGAGGGGGCTCATCAGGGAGGCCTTCGCCGGGGACGACGTTGTCTCCGACTTCCTGAAGGAGAAGAGGAAGCAGGAGGCCGCGGGGAAGCCGCAGGTGGTGGACCTGACGCTGCCCGGGTGGGGCGAGTGGGGCGGGACGGGACTTAAACTGTCCCGCAGGAAACGCAAGAAGTTTAGGATGAAAGCAGCGCCGCCTCCGCCCAGAAAAGACGTGAGCCTCCCGGGCGTCATCATCTCCGAGAAGAGGAACCGCTCCATCACGCTCCACCAGGTCAACACGCTCCCCTTCCCCTTTGAGACCCACACTCAGTTTGAGAGCACCATCCGCACGCCGCTGGGCCGCACCTGGAACACGGAGCGGACCGTGAAAAAGATCAGCAAGCCGAAGGTGGTGACCCGGATGGGCGCCATCATCGAGCCGATGGCGAGGGAGGAGCTGATGAAGGACAGGAATCAGGCGACTGTGGCGGACAGAAACAGTGTGAACTCTGGGAAAAGGAAACGTTGACCTGATTAAAGGAGCCAAAGCGATGTTTGACAAAAACGCTCAATGTGACGTTTCATCGTTTCTATTTTCAAAATAAAATCTGTTGAATCAAATATAAAAAGTCGGTGAAAATACATGGAATCACTTCCTGCTGTGGAGTTCTAGTTGATGTTTTTTTGCAGCAGCAACATGTGGAAGAAGTTGAAATCAATGTGTTTTTTAATGAGACAGATGTTCAGTGATTTATGCTTCAAAATAAAAGGTTAAAAAAAAGTGTATTTAAAACAACATTCATAAGTAATCCAAACATAACTTTTACTTCTGAAGTGTGTGACAGAAACGATCAGTTTGTAGTCGTTATAAAGTGTGGATAAAAACATGCAGCGAGTGTCTGACAATGTTTTAAACAGTCACCCCAAAAAGCATGAAATCACACTTTATATTAAGAATCAGAATGGGGCGCTGGTGGCCTAGTGGTTGTGTTTTGCGCCCCCCATGTACAGAGGCTGTGGTCCTCATTGCTGACTGTGTTTGATCTGCTCTGAAAAGAAAACTTGTTGATGCAAACCCTGTTTCATTTATTTTTTTTATTCTTCATACTTTATTAATCCCTGAGCGAAATTCTAGTTTTTAGTGAGCAACATGCTTCTCACACACATGACGAGGAGGTGTCGGAGTGAGGCTGCTACAGGGAGAGCACCTGAGCTGTTGGAGGATCAGTGCCTTGCTCCAGGGCACCTTGCCTCTCCAGCAACCAGACGATATTTCATATATGGTCAGGACGAGGACTTGAACTTGTGCGGACGCTCCGTACCGTTTTAATTCCAAAGCAACAAAAAAAAGAACTTTCTTGTTTGCAATGATCAGAAGTTGCAGGTATACTCCTGCACGTTGTCTAAATGACAGAAATATGACACATTTGTGAAACTTGGACAATGTGCAGGAGTTTACCTGCAACTTTTTAATGGAGTCATTCCTCTCCTAAGCACCATGTTTTTTTTTTTAAAGCTTTGGCACTTTTTTGATAACTGTCGATGATTAAAATCAAGGAGATTGTATTGTGGTGTGGAAGTATTGACAATGTTGACGACCTCGAGATAATCAAGTCCTCCTGAACACCGAAGACGAGCTCTAACGTCCCGATAGCTCAGGCGCTTTTTACAACATTTCATTGAGATCTGTTTGAATGATGAAACGTTCCTTGGCTGACTGAGCAGCCGAAGTCTGT